GTAATAAGAGGGAACCCATGGGATTAAAGGCGGTGGAAGAGAGGGGCCCTGGAGATCTGACAAGGTGTGCCTCGTGGCCTTTGGGTGGGCTGTGTGGTGGCATGTGACTTCGTTGAGTAGGTGTCTTTGTATGTCTGAAATTCAGCAAGTGTGTGGGACTGCCTGTGGCAGTTACATGTGTGCATGTGGAGACATAGATGTTCTGGAGCCATGTTGCTGCTTTGTGAGTGCTGAGCGGCTCTGCTGTGCTCTTGTGCTGGCTGTGTCGAGAGTGTGCCAGAACACCCAAACACCGGGCCATGTGTCTTTGGGTCTCATGGGCGCTCCTCTGTAGCTGTGTGTGTGAACCGGTGTCATCCTGTGTGCCTGTGTTGAGTAAATGAGGCCAGAGAGCTGCTCATCACAAGACCTGGGTCACATACCCTCCTGGAAAAGGGATCATGGAAGGACAGTGACCAGGAGGACAGGATAGGGAGGAGAGGGCCCGGCCCCTTGGACTTCGGTCTCTGGTAGTCCCCCGCCCTCCTTTTCATACTCTCTCCCTCCCCCCATCAGCCCAGATGGGGAAACTCAGGCCAGGGCCACACAGACCTGGTGCTGGGGCCCAGAGAGAAGCTGGCAAGTTCCAGCCTCTCCAGGCCCAGCATGGAGGGGAAAGTCTACCAGGTATTGGAAATGTCATACCTACCATGTGGCAAAGAAATGAGGACAGCCAAGTGACACGAAGAAACCTAGCTGGGGTGAGAGCATGCTATGCTCCCCTGAAAGGGAGAAGGGATTTGAGCGTCCCTCCAGGCCAGCCATTGGCACCAACCCTCTCTCCTCTCCCCAGTCCTGTTCCAGAAAGGACATACCCTCTCAGGGTGATCTACTCACATAGAAAACTTCCATCCACATGGAATCAGATTACACAGAGTTGCACCTCATCACCAGATCAGATCCTAGGGAGACAGTCGTTCAGCGCTTGACAAGGGTGGGGTGGGAAGAGGACTGGAATCGAAACTGGAAGGGCGGGTATGTCTATAGAGGGGGGACTCTAGAGCATCTCCCTCTGCCACATCAGGAAGGGACATTAGGCCCCAGCTGGTATGTCTCAGTCGGTTGGAGTGACAGGTGACGGGATTGATCCCCAGTTGGGTGCTTGTGAGAAGGCAGCCAATTGATGTTCTCTCACATCGATGTTTCTGTCTGTCTCCCTCTCCTCCCTCTCTAAAAAGCAATGAAAAAATGTACTCGGGTGAGGGTTAAAAAAAAAGAGTACAGGATATTAGGGTGTGCCTGCTGAGATCTGGAATGAGGAAGGGGCAGTGCCAAGGGAAGGTCCTGGAGACAGGTTTTCCCACCTGTATGCCTGTCCCACCCCAGGCACAGAACTGGCCTCTTTTCATCGCCCATGTCCTGTACTCTCTTCCACGCTTCTTTTATCCTGCTTGACCCATATCCCCTGGAAGTGGTTATTTCTACCTTTCCACCACACCGCGAACATTCCACAGGCCTTAGGGAAGAGGAAACTACTTGAACTTCCTTTTGGAGGGGGTAGTGGGAAAAAGGGCGCCAGGAATCAGGCCAGGGTGCTCTCCCTATCCCCATGGTGTTTGCCCGAGTAGGAACCTGGGGACTCTGGGGACAGACCCACAGATTGAGAGAATCAAAGGCTTTGGTCGCTGGGAGGGGTGCCCAGGAGAGAGTACCAGGAAAGGCCCCAGAGGTAGACAAAAGGCAGAGCTGGGCAGGCAGCAGGGAGGGGGTGGGGCATCAGGGCTCTGAGCAGATGGAGGGGAATTGCGTTGCTGAGCTGCACTCTTCAGCCAGGAAAGTTTGGAAGAACTTGATGGGGATGGTGAACAGTACCTTTGGCCACTTAATTCCTTTCCCTCATCACTTTCCATCTTCCCTGAGTCTTGGAGAAGAAGGTGTCAGGTCTCAGCCCCTTAGTGGCCTTAAGGACCCTGGGACTGGCCCTGGCCAGGTAGCGAAGTTGGTTAGTGCGTTGTCCCCCATACGCCAAGGTTATAGGGTTCGATCTGTCAGGGCACATACAAGAAGCAACCAGTGAATGCAAAAATAAGTGGAACAACAAATAGCTGTTTCTCTGTCTCTCTCCCCACCCCTAAAATCAAGAAATTTAATAATAATATTATAATAATAATAATAATAAAGACCCTGGGACTCCTGTTTGGACTCCGGGTGCTGAGGCTGCCTTCTCCACTTCGCACTTTTCGAAGCTCACTGCAGAGGGAGAGCTGGGCTAGAGGGACTTCAGGGCTGCAGATCGTTTGTGGTGAGAGAAAGGTGACCTCTTTCTCTCTTGCAGGACCTGAAGGAGAAGAAAGAGAAGGTGGAGGAGAAGGCCAGCCGGAAAGAACGAAAGAAAGAAGTGGTGGAGGTGCTGAGGGTCGGGGTTGGGGGTTGTGTGACCGCATCTGCCCCCCATCCCCTTCCCGTTGTCTTCCTGGGAGGCTGGGTCCTGTCTTTCCTCTGACCTCTCCCGTCCTCCTTGCCTCACCTTTCTGGTCCTCCCAGTGCCTCTTGCCTTGGCGGTGCTGGTGGGTAGAGGCAAACAGCCAGCCTGACACTGCTCCCTCTTCTGGTCCCCAAAGGAGGAGGAGAATGGAGCTGAGGAGGAAGAAGAAGAAACTGCTGAGGACGGAGAAGAGGAAGATGAAGGGGAAGAAGAAGGTGGGGAGGGGCAGGGAGGCTGGGCTGCAAGGAACAGAGTCAGGGTGGGTTTGAAGACCTGAAACAGGGCTGACCACAGGGGGTCTGATGGAGCTTCCTGCTCTTCCCCAATGACCCATTTCTGGCTCCTCAGATGAGGAAGAAGAAGATGATGACGACGAAGGGCCCGCGCTGAAGAGAGCTGCTGAAGAGGAGGTTTGGGCTGGTTGTGGGGCCTAAGGGGCTGTCAGGGATGCAGCAGGGGCTGGGCGCCCTTTGGATTTGGACCCAGATTCCTGTGGTACATGGGTGGGTGCTGGAACAGGGCAGGGACAGGGGGCGGTCCCTCTCCCATATCATCTCTTTTCCTCTCTACAGGATGAAGCTGATCCCAAGCGGCAGAAGACAGAAAATGGGGCATCAGCATGAGCCCCCTGCCAATGGGCTGGGGTGGGAGGCCCCCCAGGGCCTGGAGATGGGGGCAGGGACAGATGAGTGCAGCCACTCTTCACCTGGCTCCTTGCTCTGGGCCTTGCATCAGAGCTGCCACCCTCTTTCTCCCAGCCTTCTCATGTCCACCTCTCCAGACACTGCCCCTCCATCTCCACTCTGCCGTCTGCCATGTCCTGACCCGTTCCATCTGAGCTCCCCAGCTGGTCCCCAGTTGCCCCTTTTTCTCTCCTTCTCATCCTTTCTCCCCCCAGCCACTCCCGCCCCTCCTCCATTAGCCTCTCCTTCCTAACCGCTGCATCCAGCCTCCTGTCCTGTCCATCCCTACCCTGCCTGATCCCTGGGTCTCCTTCAGATCCCCTCCTTTCAGACAGCGCCAGGCCAGGGGTGGGGCCAGGGTTGGGACCAAGCCCCACAGCTACCCCCCTCTACCCCCCTTTTTGTATAATTTAATAAAGAAATGGTCGAGCTTCTGTTTTTAACCTGTCTCCTGCTTTCCCAGGGCAGAGGGAGGAGGGTGGCTATGTCACATTCTGTCAGGACCCTTACTTTCTATAAAAGGACTCCTACCATCTGCCACTCAAGAAGACAAGGCCAGCACTCCAGGGGCAGGCATGGAGTGCAGCTTCTTTGAGAGCTGACTGTTGTCCTGGTCTTGGTTTTTTGGGGATGCTCCTCCCCAGTGATGCACACATACTTCCCTGCTAGCCCACAGCAGGTCTAGACACTGCTGAGCCCAGTGGAAAGCTACCAGCCCTTATTGTGCTGAACCAGGCAAAGAAACAGGAAGTCCCACCCCTGCAGTGGGAGAGGGCTGGGAGGCCTGGGTCCTGGAGTGAGAGTTGCCTGGCATCAGAATTGCCTCTCTGCCTGGCACTGAGGAAGTGGTCACCTGGTTAGATGGAGATCTCCAGGGCCCCTTGTGGTACCCGGACTGGCTGCAGATTCTTGGCACCCACCCTCCACCACTCCCTGCTGGGCTGGCTTCTCAGGCTGGGTCGGGTGAGGAGCAAGAGTTTCCCTCTGGAAGCCTAAGGATTCCTTCCCTAGCACTTCTGCCTCAGTTTTTCTAGAGTTTGATCTCTTGCAGGGTTTCGGCATTTCTCTGTATCACCCTTGCCGACGCAGAACCTCTGGGTTGGGAGCAGGTGCTGAGTACATAGGGGTCTGAGATGGGCCAGGGTATGTGTGACTCATTAATGCCACCATGCTCGTCAAAAGAAACCCATAATTTACCAGGGGTCGGGATGACACAGCTTTTGTCCTCATACTCCATAACTGGTCTTGGCAAATTATTTAAGCCTCAGTTCCCTCATCTGTACAATGGGATAACATTAGATTTCATGAGTGACTGTATATAAAGTGTCCAGTATAGTGCCCAGCACATACTGAGTCTCAGTACAACGTAGCTATTTTCCCTGGGCTTGAGGTGCCCTTCCCCAGACCTACGGTCTTTTAGGATCCAATAAAGCTTCCTCTCCACCTTGTTCCCAGGAGTCACTGGATGGGTGGGGAAGGCAGGTCTACAGGAGCAATCACGTTCTGGGAGGTTCAAGGAATGAGGGAGGGGATGAGTACCAAAGAAGGCTGGCCAGGAAAACCGTGAATGTTGGGACTGACCAGAGGCTGCTTACAGGTGAGCAAGCTGGTAGTTTCAGGCAGAAATGGTCTGGAGACAAGGGCAGAAGGTCCTGGGAAAGGGAACAGTCAGGAGGGTGGGGGAGGGCGTGGAGGGGGTGGTGGGGACACCCAAGACTGAGGAAATAAACAAGGGGAGCGCCACCACAGAGAAGGGTAATGCTGCTGGGAATCAGCCCCCTCAGACTTTCCACTGCGAAGCGAAACCGTAAGCCCCGGGGTGGGGGGGGGGCAACGCAGAGGGGAAGTGGGCAAGGTGGAGGGAAGGCAGAAGGACAGGGGCAAGGGCCCTGGGAGCAGCAGACCGGTCTCCCAGCTCAAGACATCCACCTTGCCTCCGCTCTGCTCTCTGCCACTGCCTGCCCCATTCCCTGGGACCCCCCCAACCTCACCCCCTACCCACCCCTGATCTGTCTAGCTTTCCTCTGGATTCCAGCCTCAGGTCATTGGCTCCTCCCCTCTCTCTCCTGCCCCTATCCCTCTTCCTCCAGCTTTCTCTCCCTCCATCTTCCACGTAGCAGAACCTCTCTTTTGTCAGGCTGTCTCTCCCCACTTTCTGACCTCTTCCCTTTGGAGGGCTCACTGTGGCCGGGGCCCAGGGGGAGATGGGGAAGGCCCAGTTCCAGGTCTTGCTGCTTCTGCCACTGCTGTGGGTGGCTCCAGGTAAGGTGGGGATGACCCTCTGGGAGGGTCGACCTCCAGACACACAGGAGGGGTCAGCAGGGTTGTCTGGATGACTGCACAAAAGCCAAGGTTCTTAGTTTGGGTGGATTCTTCTCATGCCTTGAAGGCAGTCCTTCAGCCCCAAAGCCTCTCTTCAGGCACCCCCTTGGTAGGGAAGGGGCAAAACCCCTGGTCTTCCCCAGTCGCTTGGCTCATGTCCCCTCCCCTTGGCCTCTCTTTTCCTCCCCAGTGGAGGCACCAGCACCTGGGGCAGAGGTCCCGGAGGTGTGGGCCCAGGAGGGGGCTCCTGCCCAGCTTCCCTGCAGCCCCACAATCCCCCTCCAGGATTCCAGCCTTCTTCTTCGAACAGGAGGGGTCACTTGGCAGCATCTACCAGACAGGTATGCACCCCAAACTTGGGCAACAGAACTCCCAAATCCAGCAGCAATGGCAGCCAGACTCATAACCCAAGGCCCAAAGCAGACCCCAGTCCCCTCCCCTGAGCTGTCAGTCCCTCTAAAGCCAGTGGCCTGCCTCCCCTGCCACTATGCACCCTAGGTCCTTCCTCTGAAAACTGCTCCCCACATCCTTGCATTCCATGAGTTGCTAGCAGGGGATGGTGCTGTCCCAAGGCCAGGGGGACCGGGACAGTTAGCAGTCAAGAGATCTTCCCTTTGGGTGGGCTTCCGAGTGCTCAGAGTGTGGCAGGACTGCATCTCCCCCGAGACTGCTTTCCCCTTTAATGTCTCCATCTCTCTCCCGCGCCCAGCCCGCCCCCAACCAGGGGCTCGCGCCCCGTGGCGCCCACCCCCTACACTGTGCTGAGGCTGGCTCCTGGGGGGCTGCGCAGCGGGCGGCCGCCCCTGCAGTCCCGCATGAAGCTGGAAGAGCGCGGCCTCCAGCGCGGGGACTTCTCGCTCTGGCTGCTCCCGGCCCGAAGCGCCGACGCCGGCGAGTACAGCGCCGCGGTGAACCTCAAGAACGGAGCCCTCACCTGCCGCCTCCGTCTGCGCGTGGGCCAGGCCCGGGGTAGGTGGGGGCGGGGCGAGGGGCGCCAGACCGGGAAGAGGGAGCCCAGTTCCACGCCATCCGGAGGCAGGAAGGGCTAGGCCGAGGCTGTACTTCTAAGGATGCGCCCTAAGCCCTGACAGCGAGCCCCCAGAAGAGTAGCGGAAGGGGGTGGGAAATCGGATTGCTAAGTGGAAGGTGCCCCCAGAGAAAGCACGTATGAGTGTGTGGGGTGCCTTTGAAGAGATTGTATCACCCTTGAGCTCCCCTTGCCCCACCCACAGTGGGAGTGCCAGGGTGGAGGAGGAGAGGCACCCCTTGGGGGGCGAGGGAGGGTGCGGGGCTAGAGTGATTCATTTCAGACATCTGTGGCTCAGGAGGTGGGCTTAGTGAGGATCCTCAGGCGAGGCCTGGTGGAAAGGGAGGGGTAGATCAAGCCAAGCAAACTTGGAGGCAGGGGAAATAGGCAGGAGACTCTGGGCATCCATTTTAAGCGCCTCCAGGTGCCAAGCACTGAGTTGGAGGGGGTGGGGTGGAGGAGAAGCCAGCTTCCAGTTTGCTGGGCCTGCTGTAGAGGGAAAGTGCCCAGGGGCCTGACGACCTTTCTTCGTCCTCGCACAGTGACTGCCAGTCCCCCAGGGTCTCTCAGGACTTCCGGCTGGGTCGTGTTGAACTGCTCCTTCAGCCGCCCTGACCTCCCAGCCTCTGTGCAGTGGTTCCGGGGCCCAGGCAGAGTCCCTGTTCAGGAGTCCCCCCATCACCACTTGCTTGGAAACCTCCTCTTCCTGCCCAAAGTCAGCCCCTTGGACTCTGGGCCCTGGGGCTGCATCCTCACCTACAGAGATGGCTTCACTGTCTCCAGCATATACAACCTCACTGTTCTGGGTAATTCCTCCAATCCGCCTCCTTCGCGCTCGACCACAATGCCTTCCTGCCCCCCTCTCACCTCCCCCTGACTTACGGATCCCCAAAGCAGGGCTTCTGCACCTAACACCTCATGGGATTGCTCTGGACCCCACTGTCTGATTTCTGTCTTCCTCCTGTTGCCGCCTTTCAGCTGCCTTCTCCTCTTGTAGACTTTCCTTTGGCCATCCAGCCTCAATTGCCAGCCTTCAGTCTCCAGCTGGCCCAGCCCACATCCTGGGTTTCTGAGTCTCTTCAGTTCATGCATCTTATTCTGCTCCTTAGCCCTCTTCTGAGCAGGACCACCTTCTTCGCTCTCTGTCTCCCTTCCATGGCAACCCAGTGCTCACCGCCTCTGCCACCTCCCCCTCCCAGCTTTAACTCTGCGGTCCCTTTTCTCTCCAGGTCCGTTGGCGCCAGTCCCCCTGACAGTGTATGCAGGAGCAGGTTCCCGGGTGGAGCTGCCCTGCCAACTGCCTCCTGGCGTAAGGACCCCGTCTTCCCTCACTGCCACGTGGACCCCTCCCGGTGGAGGCCCTGACCGGCTGGTGGCTGGAGACAATGGCAACTTTACCCTTCAACTAGAGGCTGTGAGCCAGGCCCAGGCCGGGACCTACATCTGCCACATCTATCTGCAGGGGCAGTGGCACAGTACCACTGTCACTTTGGCAGTCATCACAGGTCAGTGCTGTGAGGGAAGGGAGTAGCTCCCAACCCAGGGGAGCTGGGGCAGGGAGGGAAGACTGGCCGGGCGAAGGCTGGACGAGTCTGCCTCACGGCGCCAGGCCAGGGGCACGGTTTACAAAGGCTGCCCCTGGCGGCCTCCTTTTCTCTCACCCCCATACGTAAAGAACTGAAACTGAAAATCCCTCTTGAGTCACAAGATGAATGTTCCGCTCTTGTCTAAGGGGATCCCCTGCTCTGAATCAGGGGGAGGGTCTGAGAAGTTAGAAAGGTGCCAAAAGTTCGAATGGTTCCAAAGGGGTAGAATGTATTTCTAGAATACTTGTCCCACTTTGAAGCGAGAGCTCGGGTTAAAGTTGCAGGAAATGGCCTCAGTTTGGGAGGAGTTAATAAATCAGTCTGTTGGTCAGCAAATATTGACTGATCATGGGCTTTTCGAGACAGTGTGAAACAAACACACTTTAAAACAAAACTCAGAAAATGTGTTGATTGATTGGCAATTTAATCAGTCACCGATGGTGGTTACTTGGCTGTGTCTGTAGTACTCACCTGTGGCCACTAAATAGTGACATCACATAGTCGGTGCTTATTAATGTGCATTGGCTCAGTGAATAAATGAATATGCTAACAAACAATAAATTTTCTGTGGTCCAGTGCTGAATTTCCACATGCTTCCTGGGTATTTCTACCTGGATATCATAGTCACACCTCAGTCTCACTCTGAACCCCATCTTTTCCTGATGCCCAATCCTCTTGCTCACTTAGCCTTTTTGTCAATAACTCTGTCTGCATCCCACTCACCCTGAAACCTAGCCTGCTTCTCCCCGCATGTCTAGTCAGTCACAACAACCTACCAATTCTTTCTGTCTGAGGTCTTCTGGAAGGTCCACTGCCGCGTGTCAGTTTCCCATGCTCTCTCTCGCATGACAACTCGGTGGGCAATGCTTTATAGAGAAGGAACTTTCCCAAAGTCACACAGCCGGGAAGTGCCAGACTCAGGGTCCATGCTCGGGCGTCTGTGTCACCAAATCCTCAGGTTCCTGTACCCCAGGCTCAGCCCAAGGCCCTTGACCACTGGTCTCCTCCTGCTCACCCTGTCACTCACTGTTTGGCTTTGAGATGCTCTGTCTCAGGATCAGTGGGTCAGTTCACTGTTCTCCAAACATTCAGAAAGGGGGCAAGTTCATCCATGGGGCACCTCACGGCAGGGGCACTGATATCATTCAAATTGTGGAAACAGGAAAAGTGGAAAGTGAGGCCCGCTCACCTGACAGGTATTGGGGATTCTGAGTATTTGAGTAGACAGTAGTGTAAAAGAATCTGAAACAGCATTTGTTACATGATCCTTCCAGGCCAGTTTGAGTTTGAACAGTCCCCTGAAGGCAACAGGAAAGTTTTTGAGCAGCAGAGTGATCTGACCAGAACTTTGTCTTCGTGAGATTAATTTGGCCATGACCCTGATCTCCTCCCCTCAACCTCACCCAATCAGAGCCCAGAGGAGTGCATTGTGATTGAGGCTTGGGAGTTGAATCTATGGTGTCAAGTAAGGGGGTCGGGACTCAAAAGATCTCTTTCCTCTGATGTTTTCAGTGACTCCCAAGTCCTCTGGGTTACCTGGCAACCTGAGGAAACTGCTTTGTGAGGTGACTCCGGCATCTGGACAAGAGCGCTTTGTGTGGAGCCCCCTTGACAAGCAGTCTTGGAGGAGTTCTCCAGGACCCTGGCTGGAGGTACAGAAGGCCAGCCTCCTTTCTCAGCCTTGGCAGTGTCACCTGTACCAGGGGGAGAGGCTTCTTGGAACAGCCGTATACTTCACGGAGCTGTCTGGACCAGGTCTGAGACCCTGCAACACCGCAGCCCCAACTCCAGACTAGTCATCTTATTCCCGCCTGCGGGCCCCCTCACCACCCCTTCCCAGCTCTTTTTTTCTATTAGGGACCTGGCCTCCAGCTCTTGTCTAGTCCCAACCCACTTCTACCACTAACTGGCTGAATGATCCTGGACAAGCCCCTTAAACTCTCTGGGCCTCGTTGTCTGCATCTGTAAAATAGGAGGGTGTGGGATGGTGTCCTTTCTGCTGGGACCCTATGCCTAATCCTGTACTTTCTCCTTAGGTGCCCAGTACTCCGAGAGAGCCCCAGGTGCCCCCAAAACAGGCCATCTCCCTCTCTTTCTCACCCTCGGTGTCCTCCTTCTCCTGTTGATGACTGGGCCCTTTGGTTTTCACCTTTGGAGAAGACGGGTGAGTTCAAGGACTCCCCTCCCCCTGCCTCTGGCTTTCCTCCTCTCCAGTCCTCAGAGTGCTGTCTGGCACCCCTTCCTCAGGAAAAGTGACTCAAGTGTATGCCGAGCCCTTCTTCATAGGCCTCTGTATTCCAGGGAACCCTCGTGCTTGAACAACACAAGGGAGGCTTGAAGGGGCTGAGAAAAGGCCTGGGACCAGATGGGGAAGGCAGGGGCTGAGAAAGAATAGGTGGACCCAGTATCCTCCTCCTTCTCCTCCTTCTCTTTCTCTTCATCCCTCTCTTCCTCCCACCTTCCATGTCTTTCCACAGTGGCGACCAAGAAGATTTTCTGCTTTAGAGCATGGGATTCACCCACCTCAGGCTGAGAGCAAGATAGAGGATCTGGAGCAAGAACCAGAGCCAGAGCTGGAGCCGGAGCCAGACCTGGAGCTGGAGCCAGAGCCAGGGCCACAGCAGCCCTGAACTGGAGCGGAAGCAGCCAGTGGGTCTCTGTAATTCAGTCCAAATAAACTCCCATCAGCATCAAGCCTGAGTCTGGCTCCTTCTTGTCCAGTGAAGGTTCTTGTCTCTCCCCAACCTCTGGGAGCTCCCTTCTCCCACCTCAGCCTTTTGACCTACTTTCTCCAGCCAGTCTTTCTTATCTTCCTCTTTCTGTGCCTGGCTTCTCCGTGATTCCTTCTTCCCTGGTCTCTTTCTTAGTCTCCCTCTCTTCTGGGTTGTCATTTTTCTGAAGCTCCAAAAAGCCCTCACCCCTTACCTCTGCAGCCCTTTCCCCCATCCTTTATCCCATATCACTCATATCCAGCTGGCTGCCCTGGTTTCCTTTGTATTTTTATTCCTCTGGCCCACCCCACCCATATTCGGTTCCACTTCAGCACTGTCCTTGGCCCTGTAGCTGCAGCGTGTGTGTGTGTACACACACGCACACTCGCAGAGCAGCCCTGTCATGTCAAGTCCTCCTGGAGATCAAGTCTTGCAACCTTTCTGTGCCTCTGGCTGAAGTTCTTGCCTGCCTCCGCCCTCACCTCCTTGCTCCCTAGCTCTAGGGGCCCTGCCTGTTCCCAGGCATGAGAACACACTGCCACCCAGTGGTCATTGCTTGTCACACACCACTGGGAGGGGGTTGGTGGGGGGGCAGGCCCAAGGAGATTAGCAGTGCGATGGACTGGTGGGCATGTATACCCGCACGTGGGCACCACCTTTGTGGAGCACCCTTGCGATGGTGTGCCTGCGAGTCTGCCCTCCAGGAGAGCCTCGGGACACACAGCCCTGGACCTGGCAAGGTTATGATCCAAGCCTGACAAAGGAGAGTGCCTGAACAAAGGCCCCACGTGGGGACAAGAACAGCCAGCAAGGCAGCTGGCTGCTGCTGCAGCTTTGGGAACCAGGAGACCTGGCTTCTGACCCCAGCTATTTCGATATGGCCAGAGTTCATCTCCCTGAGTCTCAGTTTCCTCACCTATTAAATGGGATAATGATGATATGGAAGACCCACCAGCCTGCCTGCCCTGGGCTCTGTTTCTCTGTCTCGGATCAGGGCAGCAAAGATTGCTGTCAGCAGAGCAGAGCACAGCCCCAGCCCACAGCACCCCCACAGCGACCTCGACCTCGGCCTGCAGTGTGTGCTGGGCTCTGGACTTTGGCCACAGACCGCTCCATCAGGGAACTTTACCCTGGACAGGAGGGAAAATACACTGAAAGGGAGTAGGGGCAGGTCTGCAGGAGCAGGAGCCCCCATGTTTTAGTCGGGCAGGGGTTTCCTGGAAATTTCTGTGGGTGGCATTTTTCCTTTCTACTAGGTAACATCCTATGCCCTTTGGGCTTATGAAAGTAGTCATCGAGGATTCACCAGCGTCTGTGCAGGGACTTCCCCATGTTCCTGCAGAAAGGGGGCAGGGAGGGGTGGGGACAGGGCAGAGTGAAGGGCCACCTTGTTCACCCACTAAGGAAGTGAAAAGCAAAGAGCGGAAGGAGGAGAGGGCGTGGGACTTGGGCTTGCAGTGACCCTTTTATTAGCTTTTACCCCCTTCCCTATAAGCTTTCTCCCAGGGGGTGACACCCTCGGCTCCCCCCTCCCCTCAAAGTTCTAACAAGATAACCCCCAGCCCTCTTCGTGTTCTCTGAGTGCTTCCAGGAAGCTGGGTTGATTCATCCCGCATCTCCACATGGATCTGGGAACCGCTCTAGTGTTCCAGGCTGGGGTCCTGGGGGGGGGGGGCATCAAGGAGGCAGGTAGTTCAGTGGGGCTGGTGGGGGTGAAGGAGAGATCATCTTAGGTCATTGTTAAAAAGGAAGGGGGTATCAGTTATCTGCTGCCACATAGCAAATCACCCCAAAACTCAGTAATTTAAAACAATAAACCTTCTCTCACATGGTCAGGAATCCAGGAGCAGCTGACTCGAGTGGTTCTGGAGCAGGGTCTCTTGTGAGGTTGCTGCCCGGATGTGGGTCAGAGCTGGAGTCATCTGAAGACTTGGCGGAAGTGAAGGACCTGCTTCCAAGAAGGATCCTCAGGTGGCTGCTGGCCAGAGGCATTAGCGCTGCCCCACGTGGGCCTCTTGTCGGGCTGGTCCTGACAGAGGAACTGACTTCCCCCAGAGGGAGAGAGTGGTGAGGGAGTGGCCAAGACCGGAGCTACCATGTTCTTTTTTTTTTTTTTTTTTTTAGATTTTGCTTATTTATTTTTTAGAGAGAGGGGAAGTGAGGGAGAAAGAGAGGGAGAGAAACATCTGTGTGTGGTTGCCTTTCGAACACCCCCAACTAGGGATATGGGCCACAACCCAGACATGTGCTCTACACTGGGAATCGAACCAGTGACCCTTTGGTTCGCAGGTTAGCACTCAATCCACTGAGCCACACCAGCCAGGGCCCGTGTTGTTGTAACCTAATCTGGAATGTCATGTATCTTCCTTTCTGCCCTGGTCTACCGGTCACACAGACCAATGCTGGTACAGTGTGGGAGGGGACAACAGAAGGGTGTAAACCGAAGGAGGTAAGAATCACTGGGAGTTGTCCTGCATCAGTGTGTGTACACAGGGGGAACAGTGCCTGAAAGACCTGGGCTGCCAGAGGGGAGAGGTGTCCCTGAGTACCTCTACCCCTAGCCCTGCACGGACCTGACGGCCTCCCCCGCGCCCACTGTCCAGAAGTTCTGGAGGCCAAATGAGTTCAGAGCCTTGCCAAGTCAAGTGTGTCAGGCAAGAGGCCATGCTGTGCTCATCCAGACCTGCGGTCTCCCTCCCCTGACCTTGGTCTTCTTATCCTTATGGTGCATGGCAGACCCAGAAATTTCTGTGCTCTACCTCCCCACACCAGGCAGAGGTGTTAGAGTTCAGGCCCTGGTCCTTGCTGCTATCCCTTCCATGAAGAGGTAAGTAAGGAGCTTAGGTTTCCTTGCTTGGGCCCACCCGAGGATGGAGTTTGCCCTTTGAAGGTTGGGGTGGGGATGGGTTCTGTCTGCTTCACTTTGTGGCTGACAGTTTATCCAACAGGCTGCAGGTGCCAGCTGGCTGAGCCCAAGCCAGGCTCTGAAATTTGCCTGTTCATAGCTCCCATGAAGTGCGGGAGGCCCAGGAATCACACCTTCTGAGAGTTGCAGAAGGTGGTCGTGGAGCTGGGGAGAATGTGGCCAGGGTGGAGGTAGGTCAGCCCTCCAAGAGTCTACTCCCCAGAGAACAGGCTCTGTGGCCCCTCCCCCCACACCCCCCATCTCCAAGTCCTGCCCCCAACCCCCTTCGAAAAAGGGTGTCAGTACAGCTGCAGATGTGTCTGATAAGGAGGCCACCACAGGACTGCACCTGGGCCTTCCAACTTCCCTCCCCCAGGCTTCCACAGGCAGCCCTGCCCCTTCTCCAATAGCCCAGCCTCCAACACTTTGTCAGCCTTGATGCTGGTTTCCATCTGCTTCCCCTCTTTTCCTCCCCACTTGACTTTCTCCCTGTCCTCCAATCTGGAGACAGCATCCATGAGGCAAAAATAGCTCTCTACCAGAAACAGGAGACTTCTGGAAATCCCCGTGCTCCATGCTTACAGTCCTGTTATGAGGCAGAGAGCTTAACTTCAGCTCCTCCTTCTGCCAAATGAGGATAGTAATACCTACCAAAAATTTATGAAATGTGGTGCTAGTGTATGTGAAAGTGCTTTGAAAGTGGAAAATCACTCTACAGATATGCAGGATAGTGGTGGTGCTAAGCCCCAGAAGCCCCAGATGGGCTGTCGGCCTTATACCCCTGCACCGCTGTGGGAGAAGCCAACTCTCAGACTTCATCCTGAGATGAAGCTTCCTAGGCTTCCTTAATGCAGAGGAGAGGAAGTGGGTGAGGGGGGCAATCCAAGCATTGAGGCCCAGGCAGGAGTTCAAATCCCAGTTCCACCAGTTATGGTTACTAGCTCTGTGACCTTCAGCACTTTTCTTAAACTCTTTGAGCCTCAGCATCCTTATCGGTATGATCTGGAGAATAATATTTATGCCCTACCACTGTTGTGAAGATTAAATAGAATGCACAGCCATAGAAAGCACACAGCTCTTTTAAATGTTCAGTATAAACTTGCTTTCTCTTCCTCTTTTCTTTTCCTCTTTGGGAATCCCAGAGAGAGAAAGCCAGGTTCTTGGAGCCTGTTGACTCATGGGAGCCCATCTGCATAGACGTTCACAGGTCACAAGCCCAAGAGTTCAATGGTGTCACACAGTCCATCTGGTGCAAACAGTGGGCCCTAAGCTATACCCAGCCCTTCGAATGCTTTGTTTGATTTGCCCAGTGTTAGAACAAAAAAAATAAAATAGTTGCTAACATTAAAATGAGGAGATATTACATAAACGTCTGATTTTTCATCTTCTCTTGAAATTATGGCAGAGCCGGCAACTCTGAGTTCACATTCTGGCAGCACGTTTACTATCAGCTCAGCTGCAGCTCTGGGATTAGCAGCTGCCCTGCCGCAGCCCCCACCCCTCCCTGTTGTTCACAGCCAGTCTGATCTTCTCATTGCTAGTTCGTAGCAGGCTCCTGTAAGCATTTAAGTTTGTGACCTGATCTACTCCCTCTGCATTCACCCCTTCAAAAAATATTCAACTGTCAGGGGCTGGGGAGAGGGGCGTGTGGAGTCAGCGTTTAACCAGTTCAGAGTTTCAGCTGGGGACGATGAGAAGTTCCGGAGATGGACGGTGGTGCCGGTTGCTCAGCTATGTGAATGCACTAATGCCATAGACTATACACTTAAAAATGGTTAGAATGGTACATTTTATGGTGGGATGTACATACCACAACCAATTTTAATATCAATAAATATCAATAAAATTTAATATATATGAAAAGATTTTCCCAGTGTCAAGGGTCTACCGTGCCCAAGGCACTCTGCTGGGAGCTAAGTAAGACAGACGTGGTCACCACTCCAGTCTGTGAGGCAGACACTAAGCAGTCAATGGTTCCATAGCCACTGCCCTTGGAGCAGCGCTTCCAGGGGAAAAGCAGCACAGGCATTGGGAGGTCTTACCATAAAGGACCCTGATTTCACCTGAGGAGCCTGAGAAGCCTTCTTAGGCTGTGGTGGGGAGGGGAGGGTGGGGGGTCATGGGTGGAGGATGGTAGAGCCCAAATCCAGCCTCTGGGGTACAATGGGGAGCCCCCTCACCTCTCTCACCTCTGAACCACCTGCCTCCAGATTTCTTTCAAGTGACAAATCAACTTCAGTTTCATGCAAGCCTCTATCATGTTGAATTTTCTGGTAGCAGAGCCCAGTGCTTACTGATACACACTTCCCATGGAAACCTTTCTCGGTCTCCAGGTTGAGATGAAGTTCACTACGATAAGCTCTCCCAACACCCTACACTTCTTCCTTTGTAGCCCTTGTTTAATCGTAATGAAATTATTAATTGTTTAGTGTTTGCATCACAGGCCAGAGCAGTGACCATGTCTAGCTTATTTAACATCCCAGCACCCAGCAGAGTCCCTTGGGTCTGGTAGACACATAACACTGTTGAAAACATGAATGAGTAGAGAGGGTCAGGGGTTACAAACTTAAATAGATGCTCATAGGTACTGTGAGCCTGCTGGGTAGTGTGAATGAAACAGCAGGTGGGAAGGTGTTCGCATTCCAGCTGCAGTAAGAGGATGAAGGCCTGAGGAAGGACACACTTCCCCCTTGAAGGACATACACCCACCTTTCAAAGATGCTCCTTAAGTGGTGCGTCTAACATTTTCACTTATATTCATTAACTAAAATAGTCATTTAGCCACATCCAGCTGCAAAGCAGGCTGGGAAGTATAACAAATCTGGGCAGCCGTGAACGCCTTTAAAATTGAGGGTATTACTAAGGAAGAAAAGAAAACAGACTTTGGGGACAGTGAAGCTCTGCACAGAGAGGTAGTTAAGATCTGAAGAATGAATAAAAATTTTCTAGATTAGTGGTTCTCAAAGTGTGGTCCATAGGGGTCCCTGAGACCCTATCAGGGGGTTTGCGAGGTCCCCTTATTTTCATAAAAATAAAATGTGCATGTTGAGATTGCAATGATGTTGCAAAAGCAGTCTGAGATAGAGGGCTTGCTGCCTTAGCACAAATCTCAGCAGTGGAGCCAAATCACACTATAGACATTGTATTCTTCACCGCCAGGCACTTGCGGTGAAAAAAAAAAAGAAGAAATTAATGCCAGTTTCAGTTAAGAATGCCCTTGATGAAGCAGTAAATATTAATTTTATTAAAATTCAACCCTTGACTACATTGTTATGGAATGAGATACGGCTCTGCTCCTTTGCTGTGAAATGTTGTGACGGGAGAGAAGCGCTTTTGCTGCAAAGGAAGCTCAGTGGTTGTTTCAAGTGGAAACACTATTAATTGTTGGAGTTGCAAGCTGAACTAGCCACTTTCTTTTTTCATAGTAGAGGAATGGCGTGATTATATATGCACATTTAAATTCAGGCTGCTGTGCAGAAGATGTCCTGGAGGAAGAAGAATGGAGAGGCCAGGAGACCATGAGGAGGCGGGTGTGATTGTCCAGGCAAAAGATGATAATGGCACCTTGGATGGGAATGGTGGCAGTGGGGCAGAATGACTTGGATAGGCCTCAGAGCTATTTAGAGGGCAACATCCGTGGGAACTGGTAAATAAACACACAGGAGGGACTGGGTGAAGAAGTCAAAGGTATCCAGTTTACTTGGCTTGAGCAGCTTGGTGGATGGTAAAGCCCTTACTGAGGGGGAGACTTTAAGGAGAAGTAGGATTGCAGGCACAAAACAATAATAACTGCTGGCCGGTGTGACTCAGTGGATTGAGTGCTGGCCTGAGAACCCAAGGGATGCTGGTTCAATTCCAGTCAGGGCACATGCCTCGGTTGTGGGCCAGGTCCCCAGTAGGGGGCGCACGAGAGGCAACCACACATTGATGTTTCTCTCCCTCTCTTTCTCCCTCCCTTCCCCTCTGTCTAAAAGTTAAATAAAATCTTTTTTAATAAGAAATAAAATTTTTAAATATTTTAAAAAACAACTGAAGTCTATTTATTTTTCTGAATATTAGACACATTTATTACATGAGCTGAGATAGGAGGGAGGAGCGTTCATTTGCTGTTCCGGGCCTTGATTTCCATCAGCTAGAACCCCAGCTCCCTGCCCTCCAGCACAGAGCCATCTGCTCGGCCACACTGGCCTGGTCTTGGAGCAATGCACGCAAGCAGTTTGCTCCACTGGACTTGCTCCTCTAGAAAACTGCTGATTTGGGCAGTCTTCTGAATTATCATCTGTGGTTGTTTTTTCTTTAAATTTTCTTTCTCCCCAGGAGTCAGCTTGGCCCCCTTCTTGAGGCCCAGGGGCAGAGCACAGTGTGACTTGTACCACTTTCTGTACTCTGTGCTGTCTATGAGCACAGTGCAGTTGTTTACCAGGGACTCAGGGTGGACCAGCTTGTTGCTGGATGCATTGCCGACAACAGAGATAATCCTCATTTTGTGCGTGCAACACCCTGAGCCCCAAGCTGCCCACGTCCTACCTCGAGGCCTGGTACTTGCTGCCTCCCTGCACATGGACTGTGTGTGTGCCACGGGGCCAATCGTAGCACGTGGACTGTGTCCATGCGGCAGGGGCCAATCTGAGAGCTGGCAGCAGGGTGTCCCGGCTCATAATTTCGCTTCTTGCGGTGGGGCTTGCTGTAGCCCCCAGTATTGTGGGGCCCGTGCCAGTTGTCCTGAGAGATGCCCGTGGCTCAGCGCCGGCTGGGAGGAACTAAATGGAGCCACTTTAAAATGGAGCCAGAACTGTTATGCCAGAGGAAATGTGCCCGTTTTATGCCTCAAACCTCTGGAATGTTAAAACAGGGAAAAATAACCTTTGGAATGGGCAGGCCTAAAGCAACATTGTGTCCCAAAGAACTGTTTGCAAGGATAACACAAAAGCAGATATTAGGGTTACTGGACTGGTAGCTCTTGGACTGAAAATTTAAAAGGTTCTTTAGAATAAACAACACTATGTTACATTGTCTGCCCCAATAGAAATGCCTTTGTTCCACTGATGTAATTTTTCACCTTCCCTTTCTTATCAATACCCCTTACCTTTATCTCTTGATTGGAACATTATTTGGGCTTCTGTCAAAACCAATGCTTTTCAAATAGCTATTCTGATCTCAAATACATGCTTGTTGCCTCTTGCTTTGAAAGGCCTTTTATTTTTAGGTTACCAGAGAGCAGTGGTATGCAGATGGTAAGTCTGGTTTGGATCAGGTTGAGTTTGCTATGTCTGGTGAACATCCAGGTGGAGGTGTCCAAGGGGCAGATGGGTAGGCACATCTGGAGCTCCTGAGAGATGTGGGCTAGAGACAGACATCTGAGGGTTGGCAGAGACGAAGGCCCAGAGGGAAAGAGTCTGGTCCCTGGCCACTCTGGGTGCCTCAGAAGTCCTTCTTTCCGCCCAGGCCCTTTCTGCCACCCTGGGCCATCCACAATGTCTCTGGTGCCTCCTCGTGAAGAAATGCCCTCAGGGCCCGGAAGCAAGCAGCTCTTACGTGCCCTGCCCTTGCCTCCCACCTCTTTCCCTGAAGCCCAGGCCAGGCTGCAGTATCACTGACATGATGTTTTTCTTGCCACCCAACAAAAAAGTGCAGTGACCCTTTTTCTTGCCGCCCAGCAAGAAGCACAGTGACGCGCTGGTCTCCAGCCTGGTTCTGCTTTGACTTTGACTTTTTCCCCTTGACTTTGGTATTTTCACTTTAACATCTTTCCTAACAGGTGGGGGGTGGGGACCCCAGCCCCAGATGGTGACGTTGGGACTGTGGGGTGTGGAGGAAGGAACCTCACTACCGGGCTTCCTGTTTCTCCGATTAAGTGCGTCTCTGCGGGAGTAACAAGCCCTCTCCCCAGTGGGCTCCTGGTGGCAGAGCTGCCAGCCCTAACACAGGCACACCTGTGCGAGAGGCAGACACAGACGGGACGAAAGACACAGGCCCAGAGGTAAGATGGACAGACTCAGCTTTGTTCCTTTCTGTGGGTCTGGGACAGGGAGGAGAACGTGGCAGCAGGTGCATTGGAATGTGCTAGACTTTCTGCCCACAGCTCTGGCCATCTTCTTGTGTATTTCATCAGCAGTGATCTCCCACTGGAACTGTGAGCCTCAGGAGACCGGGGACTATGCCAGACTCCTCTCCCCACTATGCCCAGCTAGGTACCCAGACCAGAAGACACCTTTAGGGGGTTGTTGCCTCGGATTGCAAAACTGGAAAAGAAATGGGGACTCGAGGGCACCTCAGACTGAGAAAGGCCCACAGTGGAAGGCAATTAGCTGCGGGGAGTGGAGGAGGTGAGGATAGGGAGAGAGGGAAAAGAGGACAGAAGGAGTGGGAAAGAGATAGGAAGAATAAATATGAAGGAGGGAGGAAGCCTATAGAATAAATGAAAAGGGGAAACAAAAAAGAAAGCAAGAAAAAGAGGAAGAGACGTGGAATCTGGTCTAGAGTCTGGTTCTCCCCAAACCAATTTCCCCAATAACATGATCACTAAAAAGTCGCACCAGAAATCATACTTACGGCATTTCATAAGCCATGTGATTGATGCAACCTTTGTTAATGGTCTTTTCCGCTTGTATGTATTTTTACGCTTGGTCTACTTTTGTGCATTTTTAGAATTTTGAACAATATGTTCAGAGGCACTCCCCCTTAATTAGCTTTGAAATGATGAATGGAATGAAAAAGCTAAAATTCTCAAAAAGGGCTGGAATTGAGCTTTACGTATGAAAGGCTGTAAAAGTGATAGGTACAGGTTTTTAGGTAAATGCGCCACTGGAAGAATTGGCCGTAAGAGAGTGCGCTTTTGGTGTCTTAGCTGCTCTGGAAAAGGAGGCTGGAGGGTCAGACAAGGATGTGCAGCCCCCGCCCTGCCCCAGACTTGGTCCAGTGCCAGGGACTCAGGAGGTGATACCCCCTCGAGATGGGACACCCCGTGCAACTGCACAGCCTCAGGCCTTTTCTTTCCTGAGACCTCCGAGGCCTTCCAGCGCCGCACCCCAGGCGGCCTCCGCCTCCCCTTCCCCTTCGTAGACGTGTTCTGGGACAGGGGCCTCCTCAGTGCAGTCCGGTTCCTCAACATAGAAGCGCCCATTCTCGATAATTCAAAGATTTCGTTCGGGGTGGGATACCTCTCCCTGGATGTCCTGCTCTCGCGGGGCGAGTATTTAAGAGTGCGAGGCTGAGAGCAGGACCTGGCGGGGAGACCGCCGCTTCTGTGCGTGTTGTGACAGCTGCTGTCTCGGGCTGTCCTGGACTCTGTCGTTTGTACAAGATGGCTGCCCTGCACCCCGGAGGACAGGGCAGGGCCAGAGGCAGCTCCCCGGATGATTTCCCTCTTTCAGTGTGGGGACACTCTCTATACAGAAGAGGTCTACCCTGAAATAAAAACTCCCTCTGCCGACTGGTTCTGGACCACTGCCTCCCAGTTCCTCAGGCCTCCATCCCGGCCAAGGTTGCCAGGTGGCCGCAAGGGAGTTGGGTAGACCAAGAGCCTTGCGCGCTTTAGACACTGAATAGGTGTTTATTGAAGTTTTAGATGCTGAATAAGTGTTTGTTGAATGAAATAGCTTTGATGAGGGTGGGTGCTGGGAGGAAGCAGACGGGGGCCTGGGTTTGTGAGGGTCTAGGTGGAGCTCTGCTCCTTTCGGGGGATACGGGAGGGAGGGAGGGCACGGCTCCCCCCACGTGGGCGGCTGAGGCAAGGGAGAGGATGGCGGAGGTTGCAGCTCCCGAACCACAGGGTCCCTTAGAGGGGTCGTGGTATCTAGGAAGTTATACGAAGCCCGTAAGCAGTAGAGGGGGTGTGTGTGGTCAGGGCACATCCCGTGGCTGGGCTTGAGGGGGCTGCCTGGGAGCCGTGGGGGGAAGATGAAAGTGCCGGGGGGACCACAGACTGCCGTTGTGGTGGGGCTGTGCCCTCTTCCTCTCCCCAGCCTCGCTCCTCATCCCATCTCAGGGGGCCAGGGTGAGGGCAGCAGGAACCTCAAGGGCTCTGAGCGTGGGGGGCGTGTTGCCGCTTCGGTCTCATCGCTCCCTCGTTCTCTCTGTCTCTCTTTCGCTCGACTGCACACTTATGCAGGGGGCTTGCCTGTCATAATTTCTTCATCTCTTTCCCTCTGCCCCCACCTTGTTTGAACTCTGCTGGGCCTTGTGTGTGATCATGGATTGTGCGGAGTGTAGCTGTTGTTTTAATGAGCTGCCCCGGGTCTCCCTACCTTCTGCTTTCCTTGGGGCCTCTGTGTGTTTCTCCCAATCTGTCCTTTTCCCTTTGTCCACCCTGCAGCCATCCCCCTCGCATGCACCCTCTGCAGGCTCGCCTCAGAGCAAAGCTTGTTGAAAGCCGGCATTCCTGCCAGAGGCATGGAGGCCCGGTCACAGGCAAGAAAAGGAACTAGAGCTTGGTGGCAGAGGGAATGAGGAGAGATGAAAAAGGAGAAGAGGCACGGGCACTCCACAAAAACCAGGACAGGCAGAATTGCCTCGTGGCATATGAGGCACAGAGGAAGAGAGACACAGTCCCAGAGACTTGAAGATGGGTGTGTCAGCGTTGGGGGGGCAGGGCATAGGTACAGAAATGCATGGATGTGAGCAAAGCAACAAGGGAGTTGGGGGAGGGAAGGAGAGAAAGAGAGAGAAAGAGAGAGAGGGAGAGAGAGAGAGAGGCGCCAGGCGCCAGGACCTTGGGGACCAGTGAGCACCTCCCAGCCTCACCCTGGGGCTGTACTGTACTGGGGCACAGCGCCTCTGAGGAGGCTGAGGATGTGGGAATCAAAGGGCAGCTCTCTGGGGCGGCTGCAGCGGAAGCCCAATGCACGAAAATAAGCAGCAGCTGGAAACCCATAGCCTCCTGCACTGAGCTGAGCCCTGGGGCTGGGTTGGGGCAGTGCAGGCAGCTGGAGGGAGGAGGTGGTGGTCTGCACAGACCCCAGGATCTTGGAGTAGGGAAGAAAAAGTGACCACCATTTGGGGGAAAGGTCAAGAATGTCCAAGCTTCCTCAACCACCTTAGCTGAATTTGGGCCCCAGGAAAGGTATATCCCAGAGGAGACCCCTTCACTTTCTGCTCACCAAAAGCAGTGAGTCTAGGATGGCGGGAACAGTGGGAACCACTTCAGATGTACCAGTGCCTTTACCCCACTCTCTCACCCCAGCCTTCCCCCAGGGCCACCCTGCCCCAAGTTAACTTGTAAACAACTGCACTCGTGACCAGCCTCCTTCCTTTCCTGAGTCCTCCTTCCTGACATCTTCTCTTCTTAGCTCCCTGGTTAAAAAAAATTCTGTCGAGTCCCTGCCACACGTTCAGCACTGGGTAATTGTCCCTTGGGGCAGGTGGAGTGACTGGAGAGAGCTTTTAAAAAATCTTCCTCCAAACTTCATCAGTAGGACCCAGCCCCCAGCACCCGTCTCCTGACTCCCAGCTCTCGGGACCAGCCCCACCAGCTCTGCACACCTTGGGGTGGGATGCCCCTCTCCTTTTCTTTCATCTAATTCATGGTTTTCAAATTCAAAACCTTCCTCAGTCACCTGGAGGTCTGTGAAAACACAGACTGCTAGACCCACCCCCAGTTTCTGATTCAGCAGGTTTTGGATGGGGCCTGAGAATTTGCATTTCTAAGGTGATGCTGCTGCTGCTGATCTGGAGGCACACTTTGAGAATCACTGCTCTGACCCAATGCTGCCCCTTCCTTAAGATCTGTTCAGAACTTTTCTGAAGCCTCCTCCCCCCAACCAGAGACGGTCTTCTAAGCTCAGAGAAGTGGCTCCTGCTCTTTCATCTAAATGCTGAAACAGCATGTCATGAGTGTCCTTTTAGGAGTTATTACAGGGTCGATCTGCTAGTGAGCAAGGCCTTACCCTCTGCTCTTTCTCTCCCTGTCCCCTCACACTCCATCAGGCCCCAAATCCTGGAACTCTCACCTCAGAACTGTCCCATAAGTCAATCTCTCTCCGCATTCTCATGGCCACTGCCTGAGCTCAGGCCCCATCTCCTGTCAGGACTGTGACAATCCTGACTCCTGGGCTTGGCCTCCCCACACTCGCACTTGCCCTTCCCAGAGTGGCTCAAGGGAACCCTTTTGCGAATCTAATCATGTCCTTCTCTACATCAAGTCCCCTGCTGGCTCCCCATGGCCCAGGGTCAGGTCCCAGCATTCCAGCACGGCATTCAAAGACCTCCATGACCTGGCTTGGCTCCCCGATCTCAGTCCCCACCAATTTGTCCCTTTCTCCATAAACCTTTCTCTGACTCCAGGTGGCAGAGACTGCCCCTGGCCTGGCCACAGCACTGTGTGGCACATACTGGTGGGTGTCCGCTTAGAGGTGTGCACTCCACCTCCCTGGCTTGGCTGTAGGTTCCGGAAGGGAGAGATTGCCTATCACCCTGGTACGCTCCAGGCCCAATAAATGTCTGCTACCTAACCATAAGTATTTCCCTCAGGCTCTGCCCCTTCTGCAGGGGAAGGCCCAGGTCCCTGCCTGCCTCAGCAAGGGCACAATGAACCAGGGAATCTCTTGTAGGCACCTGCGCCTGTTGCTGCAACTGGGTGAGTGCTCAGATTTGGGGTGTGGGTGCAGGTGGCAGGGGAGGAAGGGCTAGCTGAGAAATGCAGAGGTGGGGATGAGTCCCCGAGGTGGGGCAGTGACTGGCTTGAGGCCTGACCTCCTTCTTTTTGCCTAGCGCTGCTGCTCCCAGGGATCACTCAGGGGATTGAAGTGGTGCTGGGCAAGGTGGGAGACCTAGTGGAGCTGCCCTGCCAAGGTCCTGAGAAGAAGAACGTACTGTTCAACTGGAAGTATCCTACTGGGATCAAGATTTTGGGACGCTCCCCCTGGAATTCAGGTTTTGTTAAAGGTAGGGTGGCCAAGCTCCCCAGTCAGGGAGAAAAGCATTATGGATTGAACATCCCTGGTTCAGTGCTCTGCTCCTGGTAACCTCTGGGATCCCACAGGGTTCAGGTTGACAGAGACTCAGGCATAAGTGTTAGTTTTAAGTGATAATTATAATAACTTTTTTTTAGTTTTAGTTTTTGTTTCTGTTTCCGGTGGTTTTGTTTTTTGTTTTGTTTTTTACAGTTGCTTTCTGTTTATGTCAGGTGATACTGGCTTTCTGTTTATCACAGTAATGTAATGTTTCTCTTTAAAATGAAGTCATTTAATTTAATTTAATTTAATTTAAAAAGTGAATCTATTTTAATATGTTGCATAAATAACACAGGTGGATTTGACCAAAAATCAGGTATAAGGTATATGAATGGTTGAAGTCTGGAAAATATGGCTCCAGTCCCACACTTGGATTTTACCAGTGAGGCAACTGAGGCCCAGGGAGAAGAAGTCCCTGCCCTGAGCTTTTGTGTGCAATTAGAGATGGAGCTGGGTTAGAGCTTTGGTCTTTCTCTTCTTCTCTTTCTTACTTGACTTTTTTTTAAAAGATTTTATTTCTTTACTTTTAAGCCTCGGCTGGCGTAGCTCAGTGGATTGAGCTTGGGCTGCAAACTAAAGTGTCGCAGGTTCGATTCCCAGTCAGGGTACATGCCTGGGTTGCAGGCCATGACCCCCAGCAGCCGCACATTGATGTTTCTCTCTCCCTCTCTATCTCCTTCCCTTCCCTCTCTAAAAATAAAGAAATAAAATCTTAAATATATATAAATAAGATTTATTTATAATATATACTATATAATCTTATATATATAAGGTTATATATATATAAAAGATTTTATTTATTTACTTTTAGAGGGAAGAGAAGGGAGGGAGAAAGAGAGGGAGAGAAATATCCATGTGAATACACCAATTAGTTGCCTTTTGCATGCACCCAACTAAGGATGTGGCCCCCAGCCTAGGCATGTGCCCTGATTGGGAATCGAACTGGTGGCCTTTCCACTGGGTTCATGTGCCAGCACTCAATCCACTGAACTGCACCAGCCGGGCTCCTTTCTAAAAATTCTTAAGGCTTTTGGTTCAATACTTGTTCTCTTTCTATGATTTGAGTTTCCTGCAGAGCAGCTCCCCTTCCCAACTTCCTGGTCCCTGACAAAGGCAGTGTCACTCTCCTGATCTCACTTCAAGCCTTGGTTTCCTCTCCCTCACTGACTATAGCCATCCCTTCTTTTGGAAGTGTGTTTCTGTTTCATCTTCTTTGTTCCCATGGGAAAACCACTATCATTTGCCAAGGCCACATATCTGGCAATTTCCCTCTGCTACTAACCAGTCTCTTCAACTTTGTTATGTTGTTGTTTTTATTTTTGTTTTAATATTTTATTTTGAAAGTGGGTGAATGGAGGGAGAGAAACATCAGCGTGTGGTTGCCTTTCGCATGGCCCCTACTGGGGACCTGGCCTGCAACCCAGGCATGTGCCCTGACTGGGTATCAAACTGACAACCCTTTGGTTCGCAACCCGTGCTCAATCCACTGAACTAACACCAGCCAGGGCCAGTCTCTTCAACTTTGATTTCTCTTTCACTTGTTGCAGCATGGACTTCCTAAGCAACAATACCCTGCACATGTCACTCCCTAGTCCACTAGACTAAGCCTAGAAGCTTCTGCCTGATAGTCACCCCTAGCATCACTTCCCATAGCTTCCCAGCCAGGAACCTCCACCCCCAGGTGATTTTCTCCCTGCTTTGAGGTGCCTGCCCACGGGAGCTTCCTCCTGTTCCTGGATGTCCTCACTACTCCCCTTCCCTCTAGTCCACTGCCTATACTTCTTTTAAGTCTTGGTTAAACACTGGTCTTCTCCATGAATTTATCCCAGACTCAACCATGCTCTTAGATCTTTCACACCATCCTGCAATTGCTTTTGCCAGGTATGGGACAGCCTGGGCAAGTGGGCCATGATGGGTCTGGAGGAGGAAGAGTTATTTTAGGGGAGGGGTGATACATTTCACTGTGAACCAACTGAGTTTTGGGTGACATCAGGCTAATCTGAAAAAATTATTTCTTGGGCCACTGGAAATGTGGGCCCAGAATTGAGGAGAGAGGGTGGAGGTGAGAATATCCACTTGGGAGTCATCTGCAGAGCTGAGATGGGATGCAGTGGAATTTAGAATATCTACAGAAATGAGGAAGAGGTCCAAGACAGAGTCTGGGTAAGGCCTAAGTGTAGATGTCAGAACAAGAGTCCAAAATGAAGAAAAGGGATAGTGCTTAGATTTGGGGGAGAGAATCAAAAGAGGTGAAAAATGGGGCAGAACTAGAGAAGGCTCCTTTTTCAAGTAGCTTGGAAAATTGTGAAAGGAATGTAGTAGGATTTCAGAAAAATGGAGGAACTAAACTGATGTGTAGATCCAAGGGAAAGAGCAAGTAGGGTGGGAACAACTGAAGGGACAAATGAAAGGGGTGTTGGGTGAGTGTGGGAGGAAGAACTGGGATTGGGCTGTGCCCAGGGCTACAAGTTCTCTGGAAAGGTCTCCTGGAGAGGATGAGCCCGAAAGGGACTCTGAGGTCTGGGAGTGAAGAGAAGGGAGAATGCATGGCCAACAGGACATCCAGTCTCCCACACTACAGCCAGTGTGGGGAGAAGGCCTATGGCTGTTCGGAAGGTGGAGGCGGTGGGGGGGGCACCTTCCTCCCATCCCTGTAAGTGCTCACCCAAGCAAAAAAACTGTATGTTTGCTATGCAAATTTAGCTTCTAAAGCCCTCCTCCACAGGAACTCTGGAGCTACCACTGCACTCAGAAAATGGTTAGCTTAAGAGAACCTCCCTCGGTGATGGTTGTCAGACACTACAAAAGAAGAGACTGGAGGAGACCGCATGTTCATGCCTCAGGAACTTTCCAGAAACAGTACTGAATAGTGTACCAAACAGGCCTGAATTTTAATCCCACTCTACCCCTTACTAGAGTCATAATTGAAAAGGTAGATACGGGTATATAGTGAAAAGCTCCCCTCCCACACTTGTCTCAAGGGTGTCACTTCCTGTTCCCCAGGGGCAACCAAGTTTACTACTTTTTTATGTTTACTTCTAGAAATATTTGTCCATATAAAAGGCAGATAGGTAGATAGATAAAATTTCCCCTCCATTTTAAACAAATGATAGCCTGTTTAATACAATATCTTGCTTTATTCAGTTAGTGTTTCTTAGATATTATTCCATCTCAGTATATAGCTTCCCCATGCTTCTATCATAGCATTCAAACAAATTAGAGTGAACTATAATTTGTTTTCCTAGCCTTTCTTTGCAGACATTTAGTTTTGTATGTGCATTTGCAATTCTGGTAGATATTACAAATTACATTTCAAAGAAATTGTGCTGGTTAATGTTCCTGCTGACATTGTGTAAATAAGAGTTTGGGCAACTACTCAATCTCTCTGAGCCTCAGTTTCCCTATCTGCAAAATAAGCAAAACAGTACCTATTACTTGGAATTGCTGTGCGGATTATTTGAGATAATGCATACATAGAGTATTTAGCATGTAGGAGTTGGTGTTCTCTAAATACGACGTTACTTTATTTTGGATTAGTGAGATGTTGTCCTGGCTGGGTGAATGAATGAGATGAGACCTCCTTGGCAGTCTGGAGTTCTCTGACTAGGAAGAGGGCAGATTCTGCAGGACATTAGCAACGCATATCAGAAGAGTTGGGAGCCCTGCCTTCCAGGGGTGGTGTCTCAACTATACCCAACCTCTTCCATGTGACTTCTACTCCCAGGTACCTCCAAGATGAGCCAGCGCGTCGATTCAAGAACATCCCTGTGGGACCAGGGATCCTTTCCTCTGATCATCCGTAACCTTCAGATGTCAGACACAGGGACTTATGTCTGTGAAGTGGAGAATACGCCAAAGAGAACAGTGGAATTGTGGGTGTTTCGATGTGAGTAGAGCAGGCCTGGGGTACAGACACCTCCGGCCAATCTCCTTTCTCCCACTCCCATTCCCCCCCGCCCAAACCAGGGCCTGAGCTGATGGTACTTCAATAGTCCAGAGCCAGATGAGACTGGCCACCACATCTCCTCAAACCCTCCTCAGGCCTTGGGTCAGGCAGCAGGGAAAGGAATAGATCCAGAGAGGGAGAAGAAGAAGGGCAGGAGCCATAGGAAGCAGGGGAAGAGACAAAGGAAGAAAAGAGAAGGAGAGGAGGGGAGAAGAGGAGGAGAGAGGAAAGCCCTGCCTAGGGCTGGGGTGGGCTGGGGTGGACAGCTGGGCGCTGGCTGGAAGAGAGATGTTGGGGCAGCAGTAATGGTAGGCACTCTTGGTTTCCTGGCTTCTTCCCTTCTCCTTGGGGATAGTGTGTGTGTGACACAGGTGGTTTGTTCCCTTTACAGTGAATTCCAGTTCGGACACCTACAGCAACATCCGCCTGCTGGCTGGGCAGAGCCTGACCTTGACCTTGGATAACCCCCCTAACAGTCACCCTCAGGTGGAATGGAAAGGTCCAGGGAATAAAAAGAAGAGTGAGGACAAGAGCCTCTCCCTGTCCCGGCTGGGGTTGCAGGACAGTGGCTCCTGGACATGCACTGTCTTCCAGAGCAAGAAGACACTGGTGTTCAACATAAACATCTTGGTGCTGGGTAAGACTTGCCCCTGGCCCCTGCAGACTGCCCCCTACCTCAGAGGCTGATGGCCCCTCCCTCAACTCTGACTGCTCTGCTGCTGAGTCTGGTACTAGGGACAGAAGGAGGCTAGGGCCAGGCTCCTCTAAAGCTGAAGTCCATCATGAGGGATGTACTGGGCTCTCTCTTCCTCAGGCTGGTGGACTTGGAGGAAGGAAGGGACATGGGATGTAAGGATGTGGGAGACCCCAACAATCCACGGAGGAGGCCCCAAAAGAAGAATGTCAAGGACATCTGTTCTCTTTGTTGCCTCAGCTCCCCAGTCCCACTAAGCTGGCAAATCCACTTATTCAGGGACAGTAGCCTGAGGAAATTCTACCTTGCCCCTTTAGAATCCTGAAGTAGCCACTTTGGGGAAAACTGAAAGCCCAGAATGCAGGTCTCACCCCAGATGCTTGTGTGATACAAGGTAGAATAGTGTCTGGACTCAGATTCAAATCCACACTCTGACTTAACCTTAGGCAAGTTATTGAACCTCTCTGTGCCTTGTATTTTTGTAAATGGGGATGATGCTCGCTGTAATAGTGATGAGAATTAATATAGCATGTAAGGTGCTTGGAACAGTGCCTGGCACATAGTAAGCCCTTTGTAAGTGTTTTCTCTTATCTTGTGAAGGTGCTAACTTTTGTTTTTTGTTTTCTATCCTCACCTGAGGACATGTTTATTGATTTTAGAGAGAGGAGAAGGGAGGGAAAGAGAAAGGCAGAGAAGCATCAATGCCAGAGAGGAACATTGGTGCCAGAGAGAAACATCAATAAGTTGCCTCTTACCAGGGACCAAACCCCACAACCCAGGCATGTGCCATGACTGGGAATCAAACCTGACCTTCAGGTTTACAGGACAACGTCCAACCAACTGAGCCACTCCAGCCAGGGCAAGGATGCTATCTAAGCACCTAATTAATGCAGGCCAAATACCCTATGTGCTCCAGGGGTCCTGAAGAGGAAGAGGTCCCCCTCTGCCTGGACTGTTCTATGAGGGCTTCCAGGGGGAGGAGACACTGCTGTGGGAACATGTTGGGGTAGAGCAATGAGAAAGTAGAGTGAAGAGGTAAATAGGAATTTAAGGGCCTGAAATGGCAAGCTGGATGTTTGGATGCATATGCTCCCCTTCCATCTTTTTGCTGTCCCCACCACATGGCTGCCCCACCCTGGACACCCTCATTGTTCTATCTCCTTCTAACCCACATTCTCTCCCTCTCCACATCCAGCTTTCCAGAAGGTCTCTAACACATTCTATACAAAAGTGGGGGAGCCAGTAGTGTTCTCATTCCCGCTCACCTTCGAAGACGAAAACCTGAAAGGGGAGCTGACGTGGCAGGAGGAGGGGGCTCCCTCCCTTCAGTCCTGGGTTACCTTCTCCTTGGAGAACAGGAAGGTGTCTGTGATGAAGAATCGTCAAGTCCGGAAGATCCAGGTGAAGGAGACGCTCCCCCTCCAGTTCAGCCTGCCCAAGGCCTCACCTCAGGACGCTGGTTCTGGAAACCTGACCCTGTCTCTCAGGCAGGGGCAATTGCATCAGAAAGTGAACCTCGTGATGATGAGAAGTGAGGAGCTGGGCTGAGAAGGGGAAGGCAGGGGCGGGAGGTGGAAGGGCCTGACCCTGGGCTCCTTCTAAGCCAAGACCGGCCCCCAAAGGGTTGCCTAAGCCCTGGTTGTCTGACGGAGCTGAAGAAGGGCGCACTGGTTTGGGGGCTGGCTGTGCACTAACACTGGAATCCATATATCTTCCCTGACGTCTCTGAGCCAGCCTAGGGCACATTCCACTGAGAATCCCCAAAGGCCATGTGTTGACAACCAGGGTTCTAGTTCTGTCTCAGCCCCACCCTCTGTGACCCTGGCTAAGCCCCCACTTCTGTGTGTCTGTTTTCCCCTAATGAGGAGAAAACCTGCTCGGAATGTGATAGTGATGATGATAATGTCAGGCCCCACACTGCGTTCTTCACTTCCCTGTTTCCTTAAATCATCATAACAGCTCCCCAGGTAATCATGCCTAATATTCGATGCTTCCTACATGCCAGGCCCCATTACAAATATTTGTGCATTTAATAATTGTCTGGGGCTCAGGTTGCTAAGCAACTTGCTCAGGGACACACATTCGTAAGCAGTGGGGCTGGGATTCGAATCCAAGACTGCTGGACCTCGAAAGCTGTGTTTCCTCTATTAGAATTGCATGAAGATGTGCCCTGAGATGCCAAAAGAGAAACACCCACATAAAGTGTCATTTTGACTGTTCTGGCTCCCCTTAGAGCATAGAGGTGCCAGGAAGCCAGAGGTCCAGGCTCCTAACTTCAGGCTCTCGTTCCTCTGCAGTGAATGAGTCCCAGGACCAATTGACCTGTGAGATGCTGGGTCCCAGCCCCCCCAAGCTGAGGCTGAGCTGGAGGCTGAACAACCAGTCTGCAAAGTTCTTAAGTCAGCAGAAGCTGGTAAAGGTGCTGAACCCTGAGGCGGGTGTGTGGCAGTGTCTACTGAGTGACAACAGCAAAGTTCTACTGGAATCCAAGGTCGAGGGTGAGTGAGGCCTGACCCCTTAGCCCCTGCCTCCTCAGCGGTGGCATTATCCACAGCAGGACTGGTGCAGACCACACAGAGTCCCACTTTCCCAACTCCCCTGAGAGAGGAGGGTTGGGTGGATGTTGCCTGGACACAGGACCGACGAGGTAGAGTTCCCGGCTGTAGGTCCCCACCTGTGGTCTTGCAGGTTCCCACAATCCTAAGCTCTACAGCTCAGGAATGAGGCCCACCTGAACAAGAGTCCCCATCCTGGCTCCTTTCCAAACCCAACCACAAGCACTTGTGTGTGTGCATGTGAGTGTGTGTGCATGTACGTGTGTTTAAGGCACACAGATGGAACCACTACTCCTAGCCCCCCAGGGTGCCCTGTAGTCTCTAAACCTTAAAACCCCTTCCCCAGCCTTTCCCCTCCAGCCCCAATGACCTGTGAGGGCCCAGTGTTCCCTGCGCTGAACACCTGTCTCTCTCTCTTGCAGTTTCGTCTTCAGCATTAACCCAGGCCTGGCCAAAGCTCCTGGCCATCGTGCTGGGGGCGATTGCAGGCTTTCTGATTTTCACTGGGTTCTGCATCTTCTGCTGTGTCAGGTGCTGGCGCCAAAGGGTGAGTGAGCCTCCTCAGACACCCCCCTCCACACACACACAGCAACAAGGGTGTCCTGTCTATGTGACTTGCTTCTGCTCTGTTTCTCTCTGCCCACCACCGAGTTCCCTTACTGCAGACTGGGCTGTGTCCCAGATCCCAGGGAGGGAGAGGCAGGAAGGAGCAGAGTTAATTCTGGGACAGATGGCCTCAGCCACAGTATCTGCTTCTGCCCTCCCAGCTTTCCCCACTCTTCCCTCCAAGGGGCACCTCCCCTCTGGAGGCCAAAGGCCCTCACAACTCCCCTCCTTCTTCCTGGACAGCGCCAGGCAGAGCGGATGTCTCAGATCAAGAGACTCCTCAGTGAGAAGAAGACCTGCCAATGCCCCCAGTAAGGAACTGGGGGGAGAAGGATGGGGGTGGGGGCGGGGCGGGGCGGCGGTGGGGCGGTTGTGAGAATGGGAGGGCTAGGAGGAGGGCAAGAGGGGAAAAGAAGAGAGGGAAGGGGAGGAGATGAGGAGGGAGGAGGGGTGGAAATGAGGAGATGGGGGCCAAGGGAGGTGGTGGAGGGGAAATAGAGGTACAAAGGGATGGCTGAAGAGGTAGACAGCAGGCAGAAGGCTAAGGGGGGGCGCGAGGTGGCAGGCAGCAGTGGCGAGGGGTCTGGGAGCCACGGAGGTCCCAGAACCCGGAGGAGTTGGGGAGGAGTAGCCTTGTTCCTCTCACTCTCTCGTCCTCCAGCCGGTTACAGAAGACACGTCATCTCATCTGAGGCTCTGGGCCTGGGAGAGCTTCCCACGTGCAGCCTCCCCAGCCGTCTACCCTGCGTTTCCTGTTGGGCTCCTGGGCCTGCGGACCAGATGAATGTAGCAGATCCCAGCGCCTCTGGCGTCTCCTGCTCTTTGTCCACAGTTGGCCATTGGGTCTCCTCTTCCAGAGGCTTACTCACCTCGCTGCTGCCTCGTTCCCTATGCAGTCAAACCCTAGCCCTTCTTTCATGATTTCTTCTCAACTCTCTCCCTCACGGCCCACTTGGATCCCAGGGGGGCACGAAGGACCAGCCCTCCCTGGCCTGGTGTGTGAGGCTGGGTGTCTGAAGCACGAAGTACAGGAAAGAAACTTGGGACCAGAGAGGGCAGGGACTAGTCAAAGGTCACACAGCCAGTCAAGGACAGATCCAATGTAAAGGCTCCTGACTGCTCCACTGTTCCATTCTGATACACACCCATATGTACAGTTCACACTTGTGCACAGACACAATTCCTGATCACCCAAGCAACACACTCAGTTTATAAACCAGTTTGACATGCTTTGTCTATTTAAAGCTGAGAAAAATCCTAGGAGGCTGGTGGTGACAGGACCACAATTAGCATCTCCAGTTTATAGACCAGAAATGAATTCAGAGAGGTCATATGATTGCCCAAGGTCACAAAACTAGTAAGTGCTGTGCTGAGTCAGGACCAGCCCCAACGGCCTGACCCCTAGTTCTACTGCTGTTTTCTGAACAATGGAACAATTACCACATAGATCTCTGAGCTGGTGAGTCACCGATGCCCAGTATGTACCTTAGGATTCACGGGAGCGTTACAGCACAGGGAGGCCTGCCTCAGGGAGGTCAAGAACACACGGAGAACAGCCTCCCTGCCTAAAATCCTCCCTTCACCACCTGCTGGAGGCAGAATCCTGTTTCCACAGGACAAAACCTGCAGCTCTTCCAAGGAGAGCACCGGCTGGGGGGGCAGGCCCTGTGGGAGAGGGTACCCAGCGACCCACCACTCACCCTGTGAAGAACCTTCTGGAGGGTGAGCTTGGCCAGGGGGAGGGAGCAGGACATAGGCTTGAGAGCGCACAGCTGAGAGGCCCTCCTGTGAAGGATGACAGTGCTGGGCCTCAGTCCCCCTGCCCTGCATGCTCCTGCACAGGAAAATTAAGGGTACCAGCATTCTCCCTCTTCTTCTCAATCCAGCTGTCTCAGGAATCCCCAGCCTCCTCTACCTCTCCTTCCATTCTCTTCTCACCATCCTCCTCAGTCTCTATGACCTTTCTTTCTCTCCCTTTCTTTCAAGCCTCGTCCAAGAAGAACACCCAATTGCTGCCAGAGCTCCCCATTGCTTGCTTTGTATTCCTGCCACTTCCAATCCCTAAATCCCTGAGCTGACAGAAAAATACAGTAAACTTACTATAAAGATGCTCTTCTTCATTTGAGAGAGAGAGAGAGAGAGAGAGAGAGAGAGAGGGAGGAGGGAGAGGCATGGAGACATGTATGTGTGGATGTGTGGACTCCTCTCTGGGGACCCAGAATCTTCTGATCTGTGGGGTCAGACCCAGAGCAGAAGCTGCCAGGCTTGCCCCAGGAAGAAGATGAGGTTCCTCTGGGGAGGGAAAAATTCTCTGGAGACTGACTACCCACCTACTCACCCCCCAGAGGGCCCTGCATGTGTGTGTGAGGCTAAGACTTTGTGGTCACACGTGTGTGATGCACTGAGGGGGAGAGTCTGTAGGAGTGCGTGTGTTCCACGCGTGTGTGTGGTGGAGGGCAAGGACCATGAGAAACTAATGTGTGTGCGTGCATTGTGTGTATCCCCAAAAGGAGTGTGAGTTTGTACTCCAGGAGGTGTGTGCGTCCCCGCGTGCGTCCAGACCCGTGCACCCTCGCCGCAGGAGCAGCCCGGCTTCGGCGCCAGCCCCTCACCGCCCGGAGTCTGCAGCGCGTGCCCCTCCGAGCTCGCCCTAGGCTCAACCTCACACAGATACACGGTGACACACGCTGACACACGCTTCCTCCTCCTGGAGCAGCCAGCTCCCCAGTCCCCGTACACCACCAGCTGCCTCTTGGAGCTCGTGTTCGTGTTGAAAACGGGATGGGGTGGGGGTAGGACGCGAACCATTTCACCAATGAAGTCGGTTCCCCTCCGTCTTCCTCGCCCCCTCCCTCTCGGCGCCTTCCTTGTCCCTCCTCCTGCAAGTCACCACCGTCCAGCTCCCCGCCCTACCGAAAGCTTTTCCCTCCCAAAAGCTTTTCCCCTGGCCCCCCACGCGGGGCTCAGGGGCTGGAGGACCGAGGGAGACGGGCCGGGGGAGCCCCGGGGGACGCAGGCGGAGTGCGCGGCGGCGGGCTGAGCGCAGAGGCAGGGACCGAGGGGAGGGAGAAGGGCCAGCAGTGGGGGAGGGAAGAGGAGGGCGGGCGGGCGGGAGCCGGCGGGCCGTGTCGGGAGTGCGGGCTCCATGGCAGTGCTGGGCGCAGCCAGAGGTAAGCCGACCCCTGCCCAGTCCCCGCGGCCTCCCCCCCTCGCCCCCCTCCCCACCTCCAGCGGCCTCTTCTCCCATCCGACCGGCCCCTCCTCCCCAGCCACCTGCTGTTTCTACCCTGGGGAGCCGGTGGGCGGCACGAGGGAGGAGCCGCCTAACCTTACCCCTTCACCCCGAAGGGCGAAGAGCGCTGGACCCGGTATCCGCCCCGGAGTCCCCCAGAGCCCCCTCCCACCTTCCTCTGGTTTTTCTCTGCCCTTCTCTCTGCCCTTCAGATCCTTCCTGCCTTCCTCCCTCTCTGACTCCCCATCTCTCTCTTCCCGAGCCCAGGGGCTGCGCCTGGGTAGGGATGGGTGGGAAGGGGTTCGAGGTTGTCGGGGGCGGAAAGTGGGGGAGGCGCTCCCGGCCAATTCTCCCCACCTCCCTCTGGCTGGTCATTGCCATGGCAACTAGGGTGCACGGGGCTCCCGAGAGAAGACCGAGGTTGGGGGTGCACTAGTACCTCTTGAGGAGGGCAAGGGTCTGAGGTTCTTATTCAGGAAACAGACCCTCCCACCGCTGTGCCCGTTTTGCCTCCCATTTATCCCCAAGCCGCTGTGTCCATCCCTCCTGCCTCCACTCCGTTTAGGGTTGCACCTGATTTCCCTCTGAGCCCTCCCGCCCCGGCCCCGGGGCTTCTTCCTGAAGCTCCGCGTCGGGAAATTCAGGACCGTCTTCCCTCCCATCGGAGGGAACCTGGTGCTGGGGCGAGGGAGGGCTCAGACTCCAGGTCCACCGGCGGGAGTCCGCACCTCTGCGCGAGCTTCTCCTCTCTCTGCCTCCCCATTCCCCGCTGCCTCCTCCCCTCCTTCCCAGCCTTCTCCCTCTAAAGCCTTCTCTCCGGGGGGCTCTGGGCTTTTCCTTCTATTTTCAGATACTATCGTTTTGCCCCCCTCTTTATTTCTCTTGTGCTAAAATTCTCCTCCTTCCTCCTCGTCCCCCCTCTTTCCATTTCTGGATGCTTCTGATGTCAGCCGTTTCCCCGCCTTCAGGTTCCCTAGTCCCCCCTCGGTCCCAGCCTCCATTCTCCTGTCTTCCCAGATTCCTGGTGAGCTGGATGGCAGTCACGCAAGTGTGGGGAAGAAATGGGGCTGAGCACCAAGGCCCCAGGCCCAGGAGCCCGGCAGTTTGGGGAGGGGCTGTAATACCATGTCCCAGTTTACTGTGAACCCTCAAGAAGAAACAGGTCGTGTCTCTGCCATCAGCAGCTCTGAAGACAGATTCTGGGGCATGAGGATGGGGTTGAGTAGCACTGAACAGGGGACAGGAGAAGAAGGGAGCTGAGAGCGCCGGAGGGAGGAAAAGGGCTGGAAAGGGCTAGGAGGCAGGAGGTCAGAATACCTTCTCTCCTGGGGGTCTGGAAGACATGGCTCTTAGTTGTGTGGGGTGTTTGAGCAACCCCCTGATTTAAGGCAGGAGGATGTTCTGAATGACCCCGTGAACCCAGAAATGAGTCATGTTTGCAGTTTCAAGGGGAACACAAGACACCGGTTAGAGACCAGCCTACTTCGCCTGCCCCCTTCCACATGGCATCTCTCCCTTGCAGTTTGTCCCGGTGGCTGAGCCCCAACCTCACAACCCCTTGGGGCATCCAGAAGACCCCCGGCTGGTCAAGAACCAGAAGAAGAAGAAAACTGCAAGTCCCAGTATGGGGGCCAGAGCTCCCCAGCCAGCCTCATAGTTGGAGAAGCAGCCGGCTTGTCCCCCTAGTCAGCTACAGGCATACTTCAGGAAGGGTCCTACCCAATATGGAAGCTGAGGACCACCTCCGCTGACCCCTAGTCTCCTCCTCCGCCTTCCACGTGTGAACTTAGCTGAGTCAGTCAGGCAATGCTGAGCAGTAGGGTGGACCTAGGGGCTGCCTGCCTCATTACAAGGCAAGGACTGTGGGCATCATGGGAGTGTGTGTGAGTGGGGCTCCTGGGTGAGACCTAGCCCCCACCCCCAGGAGTTCAAAGGGGGTGGGGGGCCAAAGATAGGATGGCTCGGGGCGGGGTGGGGCCAGAGGAGGCCTCCCTGCGCTCAAACGCGTTGTCCTGGCTGGCCTGTGGGCTCCTGGCCCTGCTGGCCAATGCCTGGATCATCCTCAGCATCTCTGCCAAGCAGCAGAAGCACAAGCCACTGGAGTTGCTGCTCTGCTTCCTGGCCGGCACACACATACTCATGGCCGCGGTGCCCCTCACCACCTTCGCTGTGGTGCAGCTCCGGCGCCAGGCTTCCTCCGACTACGACTGGAATGAGAGCATCTGCAAGGTCTTTGTGTCCACCTACTACACACTGGCCCTGGCCACCTGCTTCACAGTTGCCTCACTCTCCTACCATCGCATGTGGATGGTGCGCTGGCCTGTCAACTACCGCCTCAGCAATGCCAAGAAGCAGGCGCTGCATGCTGTCATGGGCATCTGGATGGTCAGCTTCATCCTCTCCACACTGCCCTCCATTGGCTGGCACAACAACGGTGAGCGCTACTACGCCCGAGGCTGCCAGTTCATAGTATCCAAGATTGGCCTTGGCTTTGGCGTCTGCTTCAGCCTCCTGCTACTTGGGGGCATTGTCATGGGGCTGGTCTGTGTGGCCATCACCTTCTACCAGACACTGTGGGCCAGGCCCCGGAGGGCTCGGCAGGCCCGGAGAGCGGGGAGTGGGGGTGGGGCCAAGGGGAGTGGGGCAGGGGGCTTGGGTACACGGCCAGCCTTTGAGGTGCCAGCCATTGTGGTGGAAGATGCCCGAGGGAAGCGGCGGTCCTCGCTGGATGGCTCCGAGTCGGCCAAGACATCCCTGCAGGTCACCAACTTGGTCAGCGCCATCGTCTTTCTCTATGACTCACTCACAGGGGTGCCCATCTTGGTGAGATTGGGGTCCCTCCTCCTGTTCTTCCCAAACCAGGCCCCAGCACAGTCACCTGGCCTCCAACTCCATCTTCTTGTCCTCTACCCACCCCCACTCCATCTGTGGGCCCCCATCTCTATCATCCATCTTCTGCTTCCCATGACCCCCAGCTCCACTGTCTGTTTGCCAGTTCTCACCGCTCAACTCCACCATCCATCCTTCCCCCTGCTGCCCATCCTCCAGCTCCCTCATCTGTCTTGAGGCTCCACTGTTCAGCACCCAGACCTATCTATCACTCAGTTGCTTAGCTCCACTTTCCATTCCCTAATTCCCTCTGGATGTCACAGGGTCTCTGAACACTCCTGGGTGGAAACCCGAGAGCTCACCCCACTGCCCCAGTTCTTTGCATCCCCACCTGGCCCCTACTCCTGAATTTTTGTTTGTCTTCAGGTTAGCTGTAGTACCTCTGCTCCTCTCCCTGGGAACCCAGGGTTCTGCTCTAGTGCTCTCCCCTGACCTTCCTCTGAGTCAGTCCTTTCCCTGTCTCCACCTCCAACTTTGCTTTTGTCATGATCCAATGTGATCCGGGCCATCCCTTCCCAACTTCTTGTCCACCAGCTGCACTAGGGTATCAGATCTGGGGTCAAGTGAGCCCCCTGCGCTCTGGGCCCTGACCCGGCGCCATTCCTCATCCTCCCACCAGGTGGTGAGCTTCTTCTCCCTTAAGTCGGACTCGGCTCCCCCGTGGATGGTGCTGGCGGTGCTGTGGTGCTCCATGGCACAGACGCTGCTGTTGCCCTCCTTCATCTGGTCCTGCGAGCGCTACCGCGCGGACGTGCGCACAGTGTGGGAGCAGTGCGTGGCTATCATGTCCGAAGAGGATGGCGACGACGGTCAGAAAAGTGACCGGTTTTTTTCCTGGGCATTCGCCCCCTTTTCTGCCCCTTTCTGCCAGCCCTTGTTTGTGCAGGGACGGGCTGCCCTGGAGTGCCCCCTGCTGGAAGGAACCTGTGCAGCCCCTGGGCTGACTCCAGGTCCCCCTTTCCCCAATCATACGCCACAACATACACCCACTGCTTCGTTTTGCACCTAGGGCTCCCTCCAAGGGGCATTACTTCTCCTCTGGAAGTCCACATGACCCAGCTCTGCCTCCATTGGCAGAGTGCATGAGAAACAGTCCAGAGACCTAACAACCGTAAAGGAAGGGCATGGAACTAAGGGGAGGCTAAGCTTCCTGAATGGGACCCCAGATGTAGGGACAGCCTTTTTCTTTGTGTGTGTGTGTGGGGGGAGGGGGGTAACGATTGTTTCAGTAAGTATGGCTGTACGAATGCCGCACTAGGGATTCAGCACTGAATGCAACAGACCACTCCGACTTTCTTCCTGGAGCTTACAGAATAGTGGGAAGAGAAAGATTCTCCGGGGAACTTTATAAAAAGGGAGAGGAAGGTTTAAAGGGGGGCAGGGAGCGGTGGGCATTCCTTGCCTGTAACCACTCTGCCTCTTTTCTCTCCTAGACGGCGGCTGCGATGACTATGCAGATGGCAGAGTGTGCAAGGTTCGCTTTGATGCCAATGGGGCCACAGGACCGGGGGACCCCACCCAGGTGAAGCTGCTGCCTGGGAGGCACATGCTCTTTCCCCCTCTTGAGAGGGTCCACTACTTGCAGGTATGGGACTAGGGAATATGCCTCCTATTCTGGGTGTCCCTTCATTACTGTTCTTCAGTCTCTGTTATCCATCCCAACTGCCCATTCTCTAGTCCTGGCCTGCAGGGCACATAACGGGTAGGGAAAAGAAAGGCATGCCAAGAGAAGCTTTCCTTCAGAACTCTCAGATGCATTCCATCAGAAGATGTTTTGCAGTTTAAGGGGGTGGGAGTCATCTTGCAGAGTCCCCACTTTGGTCCCTGCTCTACCCGCTTTGTCTCTGCAGCACTTCTGGGTCTACTTGCTCCTCTCCCCAGGTCCCTCTGTCCCGTCGTCTGTCCCACGATGAGACCAACATCTTCTCTACCCCTCGGACACCAGGCTCCTTCCTGCACAAGTGGTCATCCTCTGATGACATCCGGGTCCTCCCAGCCCAGAGCCGGGCCCTGGGGGACCCTTCTGAGTACCTGGGACCAAGACAAAGGCTGGAGGATGAGGAGGATGAGGAGGAGGCTGAAGGTGGAGGGCTAGCTAGCCTTCGACAATTCCTGGAGGGTGGGGTTCTGGGGTCAGGTGGGGGGCCCCTACGGGGTCCTGGCTTCTTCCGGGAGGAGATCACCACCTTCATTGATGAGACACCTCTGCCTTCTCCGACTGCCTCTCCTCGAAGGCCCAGGCCACTGGGCCTCTCACCCCGCCGACTCTCCCTAGGGTCCCCTGATAGCAGAGCCATTGGACTTCCTTTGGGACTAAGTGCAGGGAGACGCTGCTCCCTGACAGGAGGTGAGGAGAGTACAAGAGGTTGGGGAGGATCCTGGGGTCCAGGTAACCCCATGTTCTCCCAGCTGACCCTGTGAGCCCAAGTAGGCCTGCTGGACTCAGAAGAGGGTGTCTGGTTGGATGATACCTCCTTCTGGCCCTGAGCCTAGGGCAGCTGCCTCCAGACTCCAGGGAGATGGGCACTGTGTCTGGGGTCCCTGAGCCCCAGCTGTTTCCCATCCAAGTTACTAGATGCCCTACTCACCTTCCATCACCCCTAGGAAAATGTATTAAAGTCTAAAGTGTTACCATAGAAACCTCTGTGTGTGTGTACTGTGTCAGCAAAGCGTATGTGGTCAGAGGCTTGGGGGGTGGAATGGCTTATAGAGGACAAAACAGCAAGGGCAGTGGACAGAGGCACAGAAATACCCACAGAGAAAGACAAACAAACGTAAACATGAAGACATACACGGAGAAGGGCTTCTAAAAGCATCTCATGCTGGGGGGCACTGGTTTGGGGCATAAAAGATCTTTGTTCAGATCTGTGGAGGTTGTTTGAGTGTGACCCTGTCCCCCATGCCTCCTTCCCCAAAATCCATGTGGGGGCCCAGTTACTGGACAGGAAAGGGTTTGGGACTGACTTGGTGTCGCAGGCTTGGAGTTTACCCTCCTCCATGCTTCATTCCGAAGCTCTTTTTCCAGGAGTTTGGGGCGCGGTGGGGGGTGGGGGTGGGTTGGGGTGGCGTTCGAGCATGTGAGAGGCACCCACACTCCTTTTCCTGGCCCCAAGAGTGGAGGGGAACAGGGAACACAGCTGAGACAGTGGCTCCCACTCCATGGGCCTCAGGGTCTGGTGGCTATGGTCTGAGGAGGCTCCTCATACAGCCTTTCAAAACCCCGGGCAGCTCCAGTTCCGGCCAGTTACCCTCAGTCCATGATTAGTTTCTTGGTCTGTTTCTCATTCCACACTATCCCGCTCGTCTTAAAGATCGCTTTCTCCACTATATGCCTCCTGACTTCTCTCTCTCACACACTGGCCTCTCCCAGGGTTGGGTCTCAGCCCCATCAGCTCTCTTTGGCTCCGCTCATTCATTCCTTTTCCCTTCATCTCCTCCCTCCTCTCTATCTCTCCTTCCTTTCCCCTCCCTCTCCCTGCCCCCTTTCCTCTCTCTCCCTCTCTGATCCCGCATTTCCCTTCGGCAGCCGCCGGAGGCTCCGGCACAATGCTCCGGCTCCTTCGCTTGTTGCTGCTCCTGCTCCTGCTGCCTCCCCCGGGATCCCCCGAGCCCCCAGGCCTGGCCACGCTGTCCCCCGGAGCGCCCCCCCAGGCCCCTGACTTGCTCTACGCCGACGGGCTGCGCGCCTACTCCGCGGGGGCCTGGGCACCAGCGGTGGCGCTGCTGCGGGAGGCAATGCGTAGCTATGCGGAGCTGGGCCGCACGCGGCAGGACTGCGGAGAGCGCTGTGCTGCCGAGCTGGGGGCTGCGCTCCCGGACGCCCCGGGGCCTGACTCCGGGCCGGGCCCAGCACCCAGGGCCTGGGAGCGCCTTCTGCTCCGCGCCGCCCTGCGCCGCGCGGAGTGCCTGAGCCAGTGCGTGGCGCAAAGGCTGGGTCCCGGGGGCGCGGCGCGGCTCCGTGTGGGGAGCGCGCTGCGGGACGCCTTCCGCCGCCGGGAGCCCTACAACTACCTGCAGAGGGCCTACTACCAGGTGCGCCAGCCGCCAGGGCGAATTGTTGGGTCCTGCCCCGACACACGTCGCTGTCCTACTTTTGCTCACCAGGAGAGGGCGGGATGCCAGTGTCAGGGCTCGGGTGGGGCCTTAGGCGGCCGTCAACGGACCTCTCTTTTCGAGTAGGTCCTTCCAAAGTCACACCTAGTACTCACTGAAGTTTTAGAGGGACAGCCTAAGGGAGAATTCGAGTGAAGTTGGAACAGGATGGGGATGTTGAAGCGGAGTAAAAGTAGATCGAAGATGGAGGGAAGGGGTCTGAAATCTTAGTCGGTCTTTCTGAGACCTACGTGCGGGTGAGCGCGGCTTCTTCCTAGGGACGAAGTGGAGGGGGTAGGGGCGAAACCCGGAGCTGGACGGAAGTTTGGGGAGGAGAGCGAGTGTGAGACTTTTCTTGGGACAGGAGGGAGCTTTGGGAAGATAAGAGGAGGGGCGTCAGGCTGAGGGCCCCTGAGGAAGAATATCTGAGGGTGCGGTGGGGGGTGGGGGCAATGGACACTGCGCAGCTACTGGCACGGTAGCTGTCGTCTACGTGGCTGGGGAAGGGGGGCTGGTCACACACCTCAGCTCAGGGTCCTAGAGACCTACGGGTTTTGCTGGTCACTCAGGTCTCTCCCACTTAACACCTTACTTAGCCATCACTTCCTCCTTGTCTCCCAAACTGAGGCCCCTCTGCCCACATCCCACTGATGCCAAAGTCTTTAGATCTCCTTTCCTTAGCTGCCGGACTCCTGAGAGTGCCAACATACTGTTGTCCAGGGACCGGGCATTTGGGAGGTGGGCAGTCCTGACTGACAAGTCTTCCAGAGGGCTTCGAGGCAGCCCCGAGTGTATGTCTGGAGTGGAGAGGCTGGTGAGAGGCAGAGGCCTGACACCCACACTTCAGGGCACTGACTTCCTCTGTCTTTCTGCTTCTCAGCTGAAGAAGTTGGACCTGGCAGCAGCGGCAGCTCACACCTTCTTTGTAGCAAACCCGACGCACCTGCAGATGAGGGAGGACATGGCTAAGTACAGACGTATGTCTAGGGTTAGGCAGCAGAGCTTCCGAGACCTGGAGACGCCTCCACACTGGGTGAGACCCTCAGCGGGACCCCTGTCCCTTCCCCAGCCCTTGACTAACAGGATGCACAGGACTTCCTGGACTGTGGCTCTGTGTATCTTGCGCATCAGGAGATCTGGGTACTGTTCTCAGCGGCCCTGGATGGGGAGTCCCTCTCTAGGACTTGGTTTTCTTCCTAAGGATTGCTAAAGTCCCGTGCTCTAACACTCCGATCCTGAGGCTCAACCCTGTCTTCCCCAAGGTGAAGTGGGACCTGGAGTCCATGCCCCAAATGAGACCAACACTCCTCCCCTTCTTTCTGCCTCTTAATCATGTTGGGCACCGCCCCCCACACCAGGATCCGAGGTGACTGACCATTCCCCTCTACTACAGGCGGCCTATGACTCGGGCCTGGAGCTCCTGGGGCGCCAGGAGGCAGAACTGGCACTGCCCAGGCTTGAGGAGGCCCTGCAGGAGAGCCTGGCCCAGACGGAGAGATGCCGGGCTGGCTGTGAGGGGCCTGAGGAACATCAAAGGGATGAAGAGGAGGAAGGAACTGGGAGCCAGGCGGGCCTCTATGAGGCTATTGCAGGCAAGGAGCAGGGAGTGTGGTGGGTCACAGTGCCGGGAGGAGGAGCATGACGAGCTGAATGGCTTATGGGTCCTCTGTGTCCTCCACAGGGCACTGGATTCAGGTCCTGCAGTGCCGGCAGCGCTGTGTGGGGGATACAGCCACACGGCCTGGTCGCAGCTTCCCTGTCCCTGACTTCCTTCCCAGCCAGCTGAGGAGGCTGCATGAGGCCCATGCTCAGGGTCAGTTGGGGAAGGGTGAGCTGTGGGGCTGGTGGATTGGAAACGGGGAAAGTGAAGGTTTGACTTTGGTGCTATCCTGAGCCCCATCTCTTCATCCCTCCCATCTGTCTCCGGATCTGTAGTTGGTCAGGGCTGCATGGGGACCATCACTTCTGGAGGACTCTAGCTCGCTTTCCTTGGGCACCACTGTGGAAGCTCAGGAGATGGGTCACAGGGCTCCTTCTGCCCTTGCTGCTTCTCACCTTACTTTATTCTCTCCTCTCTTTCTTCCCTTTGTACTCTGCCCATTCAGCTCAGGTATGTTTGAGTAAGCTTTGAAAAGAAGCAGTGGATGAGCATGTCTGGGGGTGGGGTGGGTTGGGGGTGGAGTTGGTTGGCTTTGGGAGATCACCTTTTCTGGCTCTGCCTTTGTCCACCTGTCATTGCTGCCTCTGCCCGGGGATCATCGTGGCCATTCTTGGACTGTGCCCCACCCCACCCTATTGCTCTGTCTCCAGTGGGCAATCTGTCCCAGGCTATGGAAAATGTCCTGAGTGTCCTGCTCTTCTATCCGGAGGATGAGGCTGCCAAGGAAGCTCTGAAACGGTACCAGGCCCAGCTGGGAGAGCCGAGACCTGGCCTCGGGCCGAGAGAGGTACCCCTCCCCCGCTTACCCTGTGAGGAAGCCCTAAATCCAACAGATATACCTGAGCAGTACCCTGAACTCCGTGCCCCCATTCTGGCCCACGCACTCCAGCCACCAGGGGCATCCTCGAGCCCAGCACTGACTTGTTTGCATGCTCTACTCCCGCTTCAGACTCCAAGTCCAAGTGCCAGCCCATCTCTCTTCCCTTGACCTCCCCCTGCCTGCCCTGACCCTGTACACAGACTTCTCCCCCAGTGTGAACCCAGACGTCCTGAAGCTGCTGAGGAAGAAAGGTTGGCTGGAGAGGCACAGTGAAGCGAGCAGGATGTCCCCTAGAACCTGGGGCCGCCCCGCTGTCCTGCGGCCTTCGTTTCCCTGCCCCGCTGCTCCTTGTCTCACCCCCTGCTCCCTGCTGTCCACTCTGCCTCAGGACATCCAGCGCTTTGTCCTTCGGTCCCTGGGGGAGAAGAGACAGCTCTACTATGCCATGGAGCACCTGGGGACCAGCTTCAAGGATCCTGTGAGTGACTCCATTTCTGTCTGTCCCACTTCCTGTGTAAAGCTGTTAGCGGAGCACCTGGCAAATGGTGCTACATACGTTGTTTTTGTTGTTGCTGTTCTTATGACAGAGTTTCGCCCAATGCTGAGGGCTTTTTCCACCTCTACCTTGACCCCTGGAAACAGGAGAACCTTAACGTAGTAGTTCAGGGTCTAATATCAGAGATCCGGGCTAGATTTGGTGGGTGATGGTGCTTTTCTTGACTGTTCCAGGATCTCTGGACTCCGGCGGCTTTCATCCCTGAGGCACTTAGAGAAAAGCTCAGGTAGGAGATACAGTGGTGGGAGGGGCCCACCCTGAGCTGGAAGGTGACAGAAGGGGTCCTGGGAGGCTGGGTCTGGGGACATGGGTTGAACTGGCCTGTGCATCCACTGAGCATGTCTCTCACCCCTGAGAGAGGATCAAGAGCATCGGCCTTGGGACCATGAGCCTCCACAGCCAAAGACTTTGACTAACTGGAAGGGTAAGTCCCTGGGAGAACAGGAGGCAGGAGCCTGGAGGGTCTGGGGCTGCCAGCTGGGGCTACTGCCAAGCCTGCCTTCAGGAGACCCTTGGTCCCCTCTGCCTTGTCCCTTTCCCTGCAGATGTCCTCCTCATGGAGGGAGTAACCCTGACCCAGGATGCAAGACAGCTGAATGGGTCGGAGCGAGCAGTGCTGGACGGTCTGCTCACCACAGCCGAGTGTGGGGTGCTGCTGCAGCTGGCCAAGGTAAGAAGACCTGTGAGTAGGTGGTACATTGGGACCCAGGCACAACTGCCTGCCCCCTGTTCTGCTTTCTCTGATTCTCCACTGGGGACTAGGCTTGCCACTGCCTTTCTGCTGTGGACAAGTCCCTTTTCATCTCAACTTAGAGGGCATGGGGTAGGCGTTTTTTACACAGGAATTTTTCCAGAAGTTGATAGGAAGAACAAAACAAACAGGCCTCAGCCGGGTAGCTCGGTTGGTTAGAGCATCGTCCCGATATGCCAAGGTTGCAGGTTCCATCCCTGGTCAGGACACATGCAGATACAAGATTGTATTTGACAAGGTTGCAGGTTCCACCAATGACTGCATCAGTAAGTGGAACAGCAAACTGATGTGTGTGTGTGTGGGTCTCTCTCTCTCCAAAAATCAATAAACAAAAACAAAAAAATAAAGGCATAAAAAAGTGTAAGTATTTGGGTGAGGATTCCCTGGAGTTTCATCACTGGCCTGGCTGATGGCTCAGTGGACATAGGCTTTCCCACCCATCGAAGTCCCTCCTAGTTTGAGTCGAATGATCCACATTCACCGGGTTGAGCCTGCTGTTTCATGACTCCACATCCTTCAACACACACTCTTTGAGTGCCTGCTGCGTACTCGAAACTGCTGGGTTCCAGGGAGGTGTAGTTGAACATGGACCCTGCCTCCAGGAGCTCACTGTAGAGAGGAGTCAGACGTGGAGACACACAATTAGAGTGGGTAATATGTTTGGTAAAAGAAGTATGTACTCCTTCAAATAGAAACACTAAAATGTGCCCTGGCTGATGTGGCTCAGTAGATTGAGCACTGGCCTGTGGGTCCAAAGGTCACCTGGTTTGATTCCCAGTCAGGGCACATGCCTGGGTTTCGGGCCAGGTCCCCAGTTGGGAGTGTGCAAGAGGCAACCAATGGATATTTCTCTCACACACTGATATTTCTCTCCCTCTCTTCCCCCCTCTCTAAAAATAAAATCTTTAGCCCTGGTGGGCGTAGCTCAGTGGATTGAGCGAGGACTGCGAACCAAAGCATCGCAGGTTCGATTCCCAGTCAGGGCACATGCCCCGGTTGCAGGCCACGGCTCCCAGCAACCGTGCATTGATGTCTCTCTCTCTTTCTCCCTCCCTTCTCTCTCTAAAAATAAGTAATAAAATCTTTTTAAAAAGTTCATTTAAAAAAATAAAATAAAATCTTTTTTAAAAAGCACTGAAATGCAAGGTCATAAAAGGCTTGGGGTAGTGGTGGCCTCTGAGCTCAATCTTAAGGATGAGTTAATGAGGCAGAGACAGAGAGGAACATCAGGTGAGGAGGGAGAAGGCCAACGTGTTCTGGGAACTGCAGTGGAGTGTGGGGGTTGAGAGCATAAGGCAGACCCCACAATGACCACCTGTGTGATGTTGGGCAATGTATTTTAGCATCTCTGAGCCCAGTTTCCTCTTCTGTAAAATGGGGCTAAATACAGTGAGGATTTAATGAGTCAGTACATGGCAAAGATCTTAGAAGAATATAGAAATGTTCAGCATTTAGCTGTCACTATAGTCATCAGGCTGTTATATTATTCAGAGGTGTTGCAGGGGAGAGGCCCAGAGCTGGAATCACAGGGGAGAGGGTAAAGGGCCTTCTGCGCCCCGGCAAGTAGGGTAAGACAGCTTACTGAAGGGTAGAAGGAGCCACCGCCATCCCGGAGAACCGGCAGGCCCCTCTAGTGGCGGTGTGGAGAAGTACAGTGGGAGAGGGAAGTCGGGGGAGACCCTAGGGTGACGCAGGAGCGCCACTGCTTTGTGTTAGGTCCTCATTTCAAGGGAATGAAGAGAAGGGGGACAGATGAGAAATATTTAAAAAATCAAATAGAAAAATTAAGGACTAAATCTATGTGGAATGAAAGAATGGCATCAAGGATAACTCGCAAGTATCAGACCCTTCTGTCCCTTGATCTCACTGAACTCATTCTGGCCTCGGGACCTTTGCTCTTGCTATTTCTGCTGCCCGAAACATTTTTCTCTCTGACGTTGCAGTGGCTCCTTTGTATCATTTGGTTTCAGTTCAAATGTTCCCTCATCAATTAGTTGTCCCCCAACCCCCTGCCTGGGTACTCTCAAGGTTGTAGCCCTGTTTTTATTTTCTTCATAACACTTATCTGAATTGATCTGGTTGGTTGGTCTGTTATCTGAAAATATAAACCTTATAAGAGCAGGGACCTGTTCATATTCACAATTGTGTCCCCAGTGCCTAGAAAAGTACCTGGCACACAGTAGATACTGTGTACTAATCTGTTGAATGAATGAATACAAGAATAAAAGATTAGGTGGCTTGCCTGATAAGGTGGTTTCTCAGAGGTGAGGTTTATATAATGGGATAACTAGGTAGTGATACTTTATTTTTAATTATTTTTTAAAGATTTTATTTATTTTTAGAGAGAGGGTAAAGAGGGAGAGAGAGAAACATCAGTGTGTGGTTGCCCTTGTGCGCCCCCTGCTGGGGACCTGGCTTGCAACCCAGGCATGTACCCTGACTGGGAATCAAACTGGTAACCCTTTGGTTTGCAGTCCAGTGCTTAATCCACTGAGCCACACCAGCCAGGGTTAGGTAGTGATACTTTAACCGAGTTGCAAAAAGCAGACAGAAGAATAGGTGTCAGGAAAGGACATCCAAATACCGGGAGACCACCGCTGAGGTGATGACAGGTTTTGTGTAGCTATTGGGTAATCAGGACTTCGTGTCAAGGGTTCTCAAGTTCTCCAAGCACGTACAGTGGGAAGACGCCAGAGAGAGATACCTTGACTGGACCTGGCCTGACTATCGAGCTTCCCGCTGGAGGCATGTTTGCAGAGCGACTCCTCTATTCTTGGCTCCTCGGGGATGAATGATCAGGCCCTTCCTGCACCCCTTTCCCACTGTCTTTACCCCACTGTGGGATGCTCTCCAGAGTTCTGTGCACAGGCCCCTCAGCCAGGAATCCCAGATCTTTACCAGAGAGTGACATTCTGACATGAAGGTAGTCATTTTCTGGGGAAGGGCAGCAGCTCAGGAAAAGGAGCCTCCTGAGAACTCTGGAAGCTTCTAGCCTCTTCCAGGGAGTGGGAGGGTTGTAGCCTGTGGGCAGCCTGGGGCCACAGGACAGGGACTCCACAGCCAACTCTCTCCCTCTTTAGGATGCAGCTGAGGCAGGAGCCAGGTCTGGCTATCAGGGCCGCCGCTCCCCTCACAGCCCCCATGAACGCTTCGAGGGGCTCACGGTGCTCAAGGCAGCACAGGTGAGAGAGGAGGCACCCATGCCCTGGTCTGATGCCCAGAACTGGGGAAGAGGGTGTACAAGAGGCTGGGACCAGGGCCTGGGCTTCTCCTATGGAAGGGCTCTCCCAGGACTGAGAGTCCTTGAGTGCCCAGGATTGAGGAGGGGTTGTTGTGGGGCCAGTGGAAGGAGCAGTCGAGGCTGATGGACAGAGCTGGCTGCAGAGGGACTCCAAACCCACGCTTCCGTTGCCTTTCTTGCCCTTCCTTTCACTACCTGCAGCTGGCCCGTGCTGGGGCTGTGGGCACTCAGGGCGCTAAGCTGCTTCTGGAGGTGAGCGAGCGTGTGCGGACCTTAACTCAGGCCTACTTCTCCCCGGAACGGCCCCTGCATCTCTCCTTCACCCACCTGGTGTGCCGTACTGCCATCGAAGGTAACTGCCAGGACCCCACTGTTCCTCCCCAGCCTCGGGTCCCTGTGAGGCACTGCATACTCTCAGCAACCCCACACCGTGTGGGTTTATCTTCACTCCTGAAAGACTGGTTCCCCTGGCCAGTGGGGGCCTGACCTTTCTGTTCAGTGGTGAGCCCCAAGCTTCAGGGTAGGTGTGGGAGGCGGTGGATGGGCGTGGGGGCACAGAGGCATTCACCAGGCCCCTTTGCCTCCTAGGGGAGCAAGAGCAGCGCATGGACCTCAGCCACCCTGTGCACGCCGACAACTGCGTCCTGGACCCTGACACGGGAGAGTGCTGGCGGGAGCCCCCAGCCTACACTTATCGAGACTACAGGTGGGCAGCTCCTCCAGGGGCCCGGCAGGGGGGCCTGGGTTGAGGTCTCACCGCCTGTCTTCCTCCTCCAGTGGAGTCCTCTACCTCAATGATGACTTCCAGGGCGGGGACCTGTTCTTCACAGAGCCCAACGCCCTCACTGTCAGGGTAAGTGGGGTGGGGGCGGGCACAGGGAGCCCAGCTGTGGGCTCAGGATTCAAAACAGAAGGCTCCCAGAGGCAAATGCAGGGAAATGGCTGGGGCCACTTTAACCCTCCCCTTCCCTGGCTTCCCCAGCCCTCTGCACCACGGTCTGTGTTCGGGGGCTCTCCTAGCAGAAGTTGATTATGCCCCCCAGGGAGATTTCAAAGTGGCCCCTCCAGACCCTGCCTTCAGTGTGTGCCTTCAGTGTGTGCCTCACCTACAGGAGGGTGGGTGAGCACAGAACCCCAAGTCCCTGTTCCAGGTAGAATGTAGGGGCTAAAAATAGGGAGAAGGAGAAGGAGAGAGACAGTGATTTCTCATTGTCTGTTGTTCTCTTACCCAACCACTTCTTTCTCTGCTTACTACCACCAGCTACCTATAATCCAAGCCTTCCTTGGGGAGGAAGAATGTCCCCACAATCCTTATCACCGGTATGCAGAGTCTGGTCCTGTGCTCATTTCTGCAGATTACTTCACGCCCAGGTCAAAGGATTGGACGAGAAGAGTCAGGGTACCAGGGGAAGGAGCCAACAGGAGACCCTGATGGAAGTCCCATCTCCCTTTGGCTCCAACTCCTTTAGCCTCAGTCTGACATTTGTGTTCCCTAAGTGGAGGTCAACTCCCCATTTGCCCCAAGATAGTCACTGAATTAAGGAGTAGGAAGTGATGGGCAAGAGAGCTGACCTTCTGGTGCTCCCTGCCCTATCTTGATCCAGGAGTCAGGGCCAAGTTCTCTGAAGGTCTATCCCTGGCCCTGAACCTGCCCTCATTCCCCAGGCTCAGGTTCGTCCTCGCTGTGGACGCCTCGTGGCCTTCAGCTCAGGTGGGGAGAATCCCCATGGTGTGTGGGCCGTGACTCGGGGCCGGCGCTGCGCCCTGGCACTTTGGCACACGTGGGCACCTGAGCACAGGGAGCAGGTGAGGAGGAGCAGAAATAGGAAGGATGTCTCTCCTGGTGTGTGAAGCGTGGGCAGGCTGACGGGTGAGGGGAAGGGGCTGAGATGACCCAGGAAGGGTCTTGGGGGAGCGTGGATGTGGGGAATTGGGCTAGACTCTCCTCCTACCTCCCAGGAGTGGACGGAAGCCAAAGAACTGCTGCAGGAGCCAGAGGAGGAGGAGGAGGACGAGGAGGAGGAGGAAGAAATGCCTAGCAAAGACCCTTCCCCAGAACCCCCCAGCCGCAGGCTTCAGCGGGTCCAGGACAAGGCTGGGAAGCTGCCTCGGGTCCGAGAGGAGCTGTGAGGGACTGAGCCCACTCCTTGGAGATGTGGCCACCTGACTTGTGAGGGTTCCCTTAATTCCAGGACCTACAAGAAGACCCCATGTGACAGGAGCAGAACAGCGAGCTCTCAGTCCCTGTACTCCCGCCACCATGGGGGTCACAAGGGCCGTCCAGCCCTGGACTCAGAGGATGCCACATGGACCAGCGTTGAGCTCACCAGGTCTGAGGAGCCAGGGCTGGCCCCAGGTGATGGAGTTCCAGCCCCGGACAAACAGAGGACGCGATGCCTCCCTGGAAAGAAGTGACAGGGAGCAGGGCCTGACTGCTTCAAATAAAGGGGGATGAGAGGGGAGAATAACCCCACTGCCCTCTCCCAACCTGTCAATAAAGAACTTGAAGATTCCCTCAGCCCAGGCCCATCAGTGTATCACTGTGTGGCTGGAGGTGGGAGTGGCTATGGCTGGCCTGAGGGGCGGGGCAGCAGGGAGACGTGTCCTCGGGCCTCAGGGAGGCGGGGCCACTTGAGCCTGTGATTTGTCAGGGAAATCTCAGCCACCTGCTCCCCTCATGCAAATACACCCAAACCCCTGACAGCTGCTCCTTGGGCCTCCAACTCTAAGTCCTGTTTTCCCTCTGAGCTTGGCCAAGACCTAGAGCAGCCTGATCCTTAAGGCTCCTGCTTTCACAGCCCCAGCAGGACCTCGGGAGTCGTGGGGGCAAGGAGTGCGCCAAACCCAGATGGGAACAGGGGATGGGATTGCCCTCCACTTGCAAACCTTTTTACACCCAGGGCAGGGGCAGGCCCGTCCATCCTTCTTCCTGAACCCCCTGCACTCCCACCACTGCCCCCAACCCAGGATCAGATCCTGGGGCAGCTGGTTGGGGTTTGTCGGGGTTTGTCGGGGTTTGTCGGGGGAAAAAGGATTATCCAGATCAGTCCCATCTAATCTCAGCTCCCGCCTGCACCCTCCCTGCAGTCACTGGAACCCTCTTCCCTGCTCCACCCTGAGCTCAGGAAGACAGTTTGGATGTGGACAATGGGCCATGTCTCACCCTCACGTTCTGACTTGGCCTGGTTGCTAGGCAGGCCCTGACTGCCAGGATCATCACCATTGGTGGGGGCCAGCATCCAGGGGCACTGCTGGAGCTCTGGTGGCTACTGCTCCTTCCCATCCTCCCAAACTCAGCCTTTAATCCTCACAGCTTTGCTCTAATCCTATGGGGCCTGATGCTCTTCTCTCTGCCTGCAGAGAGACCCATCAGGGAAGCACCCCTTCTACCCCTCCTCCCTCCAGGGCTTTTTGTGGGGGGCTGCTCCTCTATAGCCCAGCATTCCTGTTTCTCCCCCTCCCCCTGGCTGGGCCCAAGTCTCTCTGGAAGCCACACACCTCTCTCCCTGTCCTCTTCCCCACCCCTGCCAGCTGATTTCATTTGCCTGACGTAGTCATCATTGGCCCTACCCTTCCCTGTCAGTGCCACCGCCCCCCCTCCCCAGAGTGGGGCCAGGCCAGGCCAGCTCCTCTGGCAGCAGAGCTGGGGCAGGTGACGGGCTGGCGTCGCTGCTGAGGGAGTGAGGAGGCGCTTGGGAACCGGAGCTGGAAACCTGGGAGAGGTCCAGTCAGAGCCCAAGTAAGAGAGAGCCAGCCTGGCTCTGCTCTCTGGGGCTGGGGGCTGCAGGGAGGGCTCGAGCAGGGCTGGGGCTGGCTACAGAGGACTCCAAACTTGGAGGGGCTGGTGGAGGAGGTGGTGTAGGCCGTTGGGTCATTTCCCCGTTTCTTGGAATGGGCTCCAGCCCTCATGAGCAGTCTGGTGTGAGGTGTGAGGGATAGAAACATGGCTTGCTGGGGATCCCCCTGTACCTACCCCGTGTTCCTGGCAGGAGCCGGAGCTACCCCTCAACCTGTCAGCCATGGGGGAGATGGAGCAGCTGCGGCAGGAAGCGGAACAGCTCAAGAAGCAGATTGCAGTAACTCCAGAAACGTCCCACATGGCAATCCCAGAAAACATAGAAATGGGGACAGGAGGGAATGTGGCCTGGGGGGAAGGAGACTGGATTCACTTTTGAGTGACACCTCAGAGACCCCTGACTTGGAAGTGACCGGAGACTTTCTGGACCTCATACTTGACATGTCCCCAAACTGTAGAGCCCTAACCCACCTACCTCAGAGACCCATGCACCCCCACCCCCCACTCTGCCCTTCCCTTCCCTGATGTCTGCTTTCCCCACCAGGATGCCAGGAAAGCCTGTGCTGACACTACGATGGCAGAGGTGAGACTTCTGTCCCCTGAGGCAGGGCCTGAGGGAAGGAGAAGGGATGGGAGCTCCCTGACCAGCCCAAGCTTTAGTACAATATGTCCTTGGAATGAGGAATTACATTGATTAATTCATTCAACAAATAGTGAGATCAGGGCCCGTATTGGAGGCTAAGGACAACATGCTGTCCCTATTGTCATCCATAAAAAAGGAGGGACTATACCCCTCACCTTGCAGGGTGGTGAGGAGGAAGAGAGGGACAGTCCTTTGTCAATCACAAAGCTCTTATGGACTCCAGTTATTGTTTAACTGTAGGACTGTATTTCATCAGTCCTAAGATGCACAACTTTCCACACTCTGACATTTCTGAAGTCAAGATGCATCCAACACTAGATGGTGCCTTACAACTAAAATTGGCAGCATGTTTTCTTTCTTAGTGATACTTAAAAGAACGGTGCTTCCTAGAGTTGGTTGTACTTCAGAGAGGATTAAATATCTTTAAAAAATATCCTCACCCAAGACATCCTTTCATTGCTTTTAGAGAAAGAGGATGGGAGGAAGGGAGGGAGAGAAAGAGGAAAGGAAGGGGGGGGGGAGAGAGAGAGAGAGAGAGAGAGAGAGAGAGACTGATTAGTTGCCTTTTGCACATTCCCCATCTGGAGATGGAACCTGCAGCCAAGGTATGTGTCCTGAGCAGCCAAGGTATGTGTCCTGAGCAGGAGTAGAACCTGCAGACTTTCAGAGCATGGGACAAGGCTCCAATCAAAGGAGGCACGCTGGCCAGGGCAGGATTAAATATCTTAATAAGAGTCAGCATTTATTTTTTTCTTTTTAAAGATTTTATTTATTTTTAGAGAGGAAAGAAGGGAGGAAGAGAGGGAGAGAAACATCAATGTGTGGTTTCCTGTCACATGTCCCCCACCAGGGACCTGGCCCACAACCCAGGCATGTGCCCTGACTGGGAATTGAACCATCAACCCTTTGGTTTGCAGACTGGCATTCAGTCCACTGAGCCACACCAGCCAGAGCAAGAGTCAGCATTTATTGAACACTTACCATGAGCCAGACACTGGGCTAAATTGCTTAAACACATAACTTCATTTAATTTTCTTTTTTAAAACTTACTTTTTTTAATTGATTTTTTTAGAGAGAGATGGACAAACATCAATTTGTTGTTCCACTTATGCATGCATTCATTGGTTGATTCTTGTATGTGCCCTGACTGGGGATCAAACCAGCAACCTCGACATATCAGGATGATGCTCTAGCCAACTGAGCTAACTGGCCAGAGAAATTTCATTTAATTTTTATGACAAGCCCATAAAGTAGGTGCTATAAACATTTTATGGATGAGGACAGGCTCAGAGAGGTTGAGTAACTTGACCAGGATAATAGAGCACGCAAATGGCAAATCAAGTCTATTGGCTCTGGAGCCTCAGACTAAATCTAGAAGCTGGATAGAGTTTAAGGGGCATAGGACAACAGAATTCAGGAGGGGCAGTTCAAGGCCATGGTGATACCCTGGATACCCAGTTAAAGAGTCGGCTGTGCTGGAGTGGTGTGTGCGGGTCAGTCCCTAGTGATTTGGAACGGTCGAATGTGTACATATCTTCCTAAGTTCGTGTTCAGTGATTTCACATTGGCAGCTTGAAATTGGTTGCAGTGGGAGAATTACAGGATAGAAATCACCCACCCACCTCCCCTCCCCCTCCCCACACTGGAGAGAGTTGTTAAATCCTTAACAACACGCCACTGGCTGTCTCTCACACCAACCTAAGCCACTCCACGGCAGGGACTTACTTTTTTCAGACTGGGGGCTGACCCAGAACAGAAACTTGTACAGATCAGTGGCTGTGACCCTGACAACTGGGCACATACCCTGCTTGCCTGATTTCTAACACCCCCTTTGCTGCAGCTTGTGTCTGACCTAGAAGTCGTGGGACGAGTCCAGATGCGGACCAGGAGGACGTTACGGGGACACCTGGCCAAGATTTATGCCATGCACTGGGCCACTGATTCCAAGTGAGCCTTGAGGCGTGTCCGGAGAGGAGGGGAAGCAGGAAGGAGAAGCTTGGGTGACACGGGGTGTGACTTGGGATGCCCTCTTCCCAGGCTGCTAGTAAGTGCCTCACAAGATGGAAAACTGATCGTGTGGGACACCTACACCACCAATAAGGTACCAACCTTGCCTCCCGCCCCTCTACCACTCTGTCCTTCCTTGGGGACATTGTGCCTACCTTCCTCTGCCCTATCCACCTGGGAGCTGAGCCCAGGTCCTGCCCCCGCTCACCCTGACCTCCTGCAGGTACATGCCATCCCTCTGCGCTCCTCCTGGGTCATGACCTGTGCCTATGCCCCATCGGGGAACTTCGTGGCGTGTGGGGGGCTGGACAACATGTGCTCTATCTACAGCCTCAAATCCCGTGAGGGCAATGTCAAGGTCAGCCGGGAACTCTCTGCTCACACAGGTGAGAGAGCCTGTCTTCCCCTCCCGAGGCTCCAGGGAAGCCCCGGGGTGGGTGGGCTGTGGCTCTGAGGCCGGGCACTGTCCTAACCACCCCCAGGTTATCTCTCCTGCTGCCGCTTTCTGGATGACAACAACATTGTGACCAGCTCAGGGGACACCACATGGTGAGGACTGAACACTATGGGTGCTGGGCTGGCAATTCTGTCCTGGCCTTTTTCTGTGACAGCCTCCCCTTTTCTTTGGCAGTGCTCTGTGGGATATCGAGACCGGGCAGCAGAAGACTGTGTTTGTGGGACACACAGGGGACTGCATGAGCCTGGCTGTGTCTCCCGACTACCAGCTCTTCGTTTCCGGGGCTTGTGATGCCAGCGCCAAGCTGTGGGATGTGCGGGAGGGGACCTGCCGGCAGACTTTCACCGGCCACGAGTCGGACATCAACGCCATCTGTGTGAGTCCCAGTGTGCTCCGCCTCCCGGGCCGTAGCACCGCCCTGCGCCGCCTCCCAGGGCTCCCCTCCCCCTGGCTTGGTAACTTTCCACTTTGAAATAACTTCACCTTACAGAAAAGTGTGAGAGTAGCAAAAAGAGCTCCCACCTACCCATACTCACTGTTAACATTTTACCACATTTGTTGTATCTTTCTCTCTCCGTAGGGGAAGGGATGAGGGATGGGAGCTAGTTGGATGGACAGACGATTGACATGGCTAGCAAGCTAGATCAACACATACACCTAGATGTAGATATGCCTTTCTTTATGGTTCTCCCTGTTTTGTTTTTTTTTTTGAGAGTAAGTTGTAGATATTGTGTCTCTTTACCCCTTAAACACGTCAGTGTGTATTTCCTAAACACAAGGCCATTCTCCTAGATAGCCACAGTGTAATTCTTAAAATCAGGGAATCTAACAGTGACACAATACTACAGTCTACAGTCTATCTTCACATCTCACCGATCACCTCAAGTATTAACTGTGATAGCAGTTTGCCCCCCACCAGGAACATGTACTGCATTTTCTTGCCACATCTGTTTCCTGTAAGTGGGAACTATTTTCTACCTTTGCCTTTCATGACATTGGCATTTTTAAAGAGTGCAAACCAATTTTCTGTAGGCTTTCCCTCTATTTGAGTTGATCTGACACTTCCTCATGATGAGGTTCAGACTATGCGTTCGCACTTGGCCCTGCTCCTACCCTCCAATCCAGCTGACTAGTGGGAAGTCAGAGACAACCTCCACCCTTCCAGCCATGTGACCCTGGGCAAGCTGCAGGCACTCCCTCGGCCTCCTGGGCATAACGCTGGCCTGCAGCGCTATCATGAGGAGGAAGTGAAGGCTATAGGGGACCCTCCAGTGTGCACGGAGAGCAATGCTGTGGCCTCTCTCACTGCAGGCCAGGGCAGGGACAGGCAGGGAGGCTGGAGGAAGGAGCTCGCCCTGGAGCCACCAGGGCAGGAGTCAGGTGGAGGGCAGGAGAGGCAGCAGCTGCTCAGGTCTGCGTCCTGACTCCTTTGCCACCTGTGCCCTCAGTTCTTCCCCAACGGAGAGGCCATCTGCACAGGCTCGGACGACGCCTCCTGCCGTCTGTTTGACCTGCGGGCAGACCAGGAGCTGACCGTCTATTCCCACGAGAGCATCATCTGTGGCATCACATCTGTGGCTTTCTCCCTCAGTGGCCGCCTGCTCTTTGCAGGCTACGATGACTTCAACTGCAATGTCTGGGACTCCATGAAGGGCGAGCGCGTGGGTAAGGGCCAGCCCAGCCCCCTTCCCCACCGCTGCCTCAGCCAGAGGTACTCTCCATCCAGCTCCCCTTGTTGGGAACCTCTTACTGCTATTCCCTAATTATCAGATAACTTTGAGTGGTACCCCTGCAACCCACTCCCCCTCTGGTTCCAATGTAGGATCATCTTCTCTGAAAGAAAAGTTGCTTTAAGGGGCCCTTCTCCTTTGCCCAATGTCATGGCTGCTCCCTGCCAAAGGAGCTCCTTCCAGTGATCCCCAGACCTGAGGACCTTGACTGTCTAGTCAGGTCTGGGTTTCAGGGGCATCCATTGAAGGACAGGGCAATCTCAGGGAACTGCAATGAGCCGGGCCCTGACCCCAAGCCCGGGGCTTCTCTAGGACCAGGCTGGTCTACAGGTGAATAAGATAGTGCGGCTTCTCCTCTTGGGAGAGGTCAGGTGCTGAATGAAAATAACACTAGCCACAGAGTCAGGATCCAAATCCTAATTCTGGGCCTTACTTTCCGAGTGCTCTTGGGCAAGTCACTTCTCTCTGGGCCTCAGTCTCTTTGTTTGGAAACAAAGCAGCAGCATGACAGGGCTACTTCCCTATTTTCAGGAGTCCGTCAAGATGCCCCTTCCTCTTCTCACAGCACATCGACACTTCCAACCTTTCCCCATCCTGGGTTCCTGAGAAAGCCTAATGCTTAGGGCTAATCCTCCTTCTGTCTTCCAGCCTCCATCAGGGGGCTGAATTCAGAGCCCGGCCTACCTAAGCTGGGATACCTGTGCGTGCACACACGCTCTCTGCCAAATGGGCACGTGGAGACACGCTTGTCTCCTCTCCCTTTTCCTCAGGCATCCTCTCTGGCCATGACAACAGGGTCAGCTGCCTGGGGGTCACAGCTGATGGGATGGCGGTGGCCACTGGCTCCTGGGACAGCTTCCTCAAAATCTGGAACTGAGAAGGCTGGAGGGGGGAGGTAAAAGGCCATGAAGACACTCAGCTGCCCCTTCTCCTGTCCACTTTCTCTAAGGTTCCTTTAAAATTTCTCTTCTATACCCCAGCTGCCATTCCCACCAAGCTTTCTCCTTTGAAGACAGTGGGGAACACAGGGAGTGTGCCTTTGGGGGGCCGCATCAGGGACAGGCAGAGAACTGCCCCATCTCCTCCCATGGCCTCCCCTCGCCACGGTCATGACACTTTCACCCTTAGTGAGCAAGGACAACTGACCGCTCCCCAGCCCTTGGCAGGTCCAGCAGGCTCCCAGTGTGGGACTCCAGGCCCTAGGATTCCTCCCCCAGAGCTCCTCCCTTTGTCCAGACCTGTTTGGCACAGGGTGCTTAGCCCGTGACTATGGCTCTGGCACCACCAAGGTCCTGGCCCCCTTTTCCTTCGTGCTTTCTCCTTTTTCTACCATCTTTTTTTTCTCTCGACAAAGCACCTGCAATAAAGTACAGCACCCTGGTATATCTTTGATGTTTGGCTTCCACCCTACTTATGTTCCAAAAAGATTCAGTTCCCACTTAAGTAATAAAGTATTGTGGGTGCAAGTGATAAAGGTTGGGTGCCAGACAGCTTGTGGGCAGAAAGTAGGCGGGAGAGCAGAAGCCCAAGTCTTGTGGGGAAGGCCTGAGATGGGTCAGGAGAGAAGGCATTCACCAGTGTCTGGGAGCACGTGTCCAGCAGTTCACCACAGCCTGCCTATGGTGTGTGCATGTGTGTTTGTACGGTAGGATGATATTGAGAAGGAATCAGATAATAAAAGGAAGTGAGGAAACATTGACAAACTTTTAGCAAAGTAGTAATGTGATCAGATATGCTTCTCAGAAAGACAACCCTAGCAGCAATGTAGGTTGATGAAATGCAGGCAGGGGAGACAGGATGGAGTGAAGCAAACAGGTAGGAAGCATGTGGCAAGAAATGCAAGAGCGATAGGACAGAGGGGACAAGGGAAGGGACAGGAAAGAGATTAAACATAGAATCAGCAGGATTTAGTGACAGAGTGCTAGAACATGGGATGTTAAGAGGGATTCAAAATGATGGCTAAGGTCTGGGTTTGGGTGGACAATTCTGTTATTTACAGGGATAAAGAAGAGGGGAAGGGAAACAGGCTTTGAGGGGAAGATCACAACTTCAACTTTACTCAAACTGACTGTGAAGTGCCTAGGGGCAGCTGGATAGAGGGCGGGGTTAGATGGTGAGACCTGGAATTTACCAGAATATAGGTAGAAGGTAGCTAATCCCTAGAGGCCAACACCTAGGAAGAGCAAGAGGAGAGAGCCAAGGACAGAGCCCTGGGCAACACCAGGATTTAAGGGAGGGCTGTTCAGAGATTTGGAGGAACCAATGCAGGGGTGCTCAGGCCAGGGAACACAAGCTCCCCAGGCTGCCTTTCTACATCAAGATGACCCAGAGCAAGGTTTAGGCATAACACTTAATAACATCATTTAAAACCACTTCCTTTAATATACAAGACACACATAACACACAAAGAAAGTCCAAGAAAGTTCTCAGTTCCAGAGTTGGTCGTTTAGGGGGTATCAAAAAAAAAAGGAACCTTTCCAGTCTCCCAGGGAAAGAAGTGGGGAGAGGACTCAGAATATCCCTAGATCCCAGGTGAGGCCAGGGCTGGGCCACACATGGCCTAGTTCTCTACCACAGCGAAGTGCTGGTTTTCCTTATCATCATCCTGGCCTTGCTCCCACGCTTGTCCTCCAGTTCTCAGAATGGCCCCTTCCTTTAGTTCCCTAATATTTTCACTCAGGGGGGAAGGCCGCTTACCCTACAAAAAACAGTATGCAAGTTGGGGGAGGGAGGGAGGTTGTTTAGGGGAGTGAAGATGGGGTAAGTCCTCCCACCCTCTACATTGGACTTCTTAGGAATAACTCTCACCCTCTCCCTTTACCTGTCGTGGTGTCAGAGTCCCAGGGGAGTTGTCATCCTGCAGGATGGTGAGGGGAGATCTCCCTAGTACTTTGCCCTTTGGTTTCCGTCTACTGCACTTAGAACCTAGGGTGGGTAAAGAGTTAAAGCAAGGAGCCAAAATTAGGGGTCTACATTTTATCCCTCCTGAACTACCCCACAACATGATCTCAATTTCTCTTCCTTATACCTTACCCTTAAATTCTGTACCTGAAGATCTGGGTGTCTCAGGGTCTCTCATGGACTTGTCCAAGCCCTGGCTGGCTGTAAGGGTTTCTGAGGGCTGTCCTGTTTCTTCCTCGGAAAACGCCTGCTTGGAGGGAGGCTCAACTTGGCTCCCACGTGGCATCTGGTCCTCAAGAGAAAACTGGGTGCCCAGCGGCAAGTCCAATTCAGAAGATGAAGGTGCCTTGGGGGGCGGAATAGGCTCTGGGGGAAGATTTGCTCTGGGGGCTTCGGTCTCAAATGCTTCGCTCAGCTGTTTCGCCAGTGGGCTTGGAGGCTCTAGAGGGGGGAAGTGAAGTGAGACAGTGACCCTCTGATACAAACTGTTCAGCAAAGAGCAAAAAGTATAGGAGTCTTAGGATTCATACCGTGGTGGGTGAGCAATTGAGAAGAGGGAAATCAAGGTGAGAGGGAGTAAAATGTTGAGGAAAGAGTGAAATGGGTTCACAGCCGGAGGATGGAGGCCCCTTTAAGGAGTCCTGAGAGCATGGCCTCATTGACCCCCATCCGAGGATGGTAGCTCACAGCCTTATCAGAATTCCCTGGGCCCAACCACTCACCTCCGCTGCTGGTCTTCATAGGTGTCCTTGAAATGCCGAGTGTAGGGGAGCGCGGATCTGAGTCCTGGGCCTGATTAGGACCCTCTGGCTGCTCCCCTGATGGTAGGTTTGGCTGTGGAGAGCTCTCCACCTATCGGGATCAAAGGCTATTAAAGTCTGGGCCTTGACTCTTCTTCCCTCCCAGGTCTTCAGCCTCAGGCCCACTTTCCAGGCAGAAATTGCCAAGGCCCTCAGGCATTCAGGAGAGTGTAGAAATTAAGGCCTCAAAAGAGAAGTGGGCAGGGAGGACTCTCTCAGAATCAGGTTAAGCAGACGCCAAAGAATTCGGCCAGTTTCTCCACCTACCCCCTACCCGGCCCAGAGTACCTGGATGGGAGTGCGCAGAATGCCGGCACTAGGTGAACGCGGGTCCGCCACTCGAGCCAGATGTTTGTTGTGCGGCGGAGGCCGCGCAGGAGTCACTGGTACGCTCTTGGCTGAGCCCATCTCAACAGGGAGGAAGGGGGTGGGGCAGGGCTTGGGCAGGGGCGAGGAGGGGATGCCTATGAGAAATGACTCAGGTCTCAGCCCTCACCGCGACCATGTCCGACCTCGAACTCCAGACCACCCGATCTTCCCAGATCCCAGCTAAGGAACCTCCTGGCCGCCGGGCCAGAGGCCTCTGGGAGGAAAATGACTGGTGCAGCTGACAAGGCGGCTTATTCCAGGGCTGCCAGGCCCTCTAATTTATTCACTAATTTATTCAAATTACTTACCGTGCCCCACTCCACCTTTTGCTGCACGGTAGCTCGAGCCTCAACTCCTGAAGCTGAGTTTCAAACCTCCCGCCACGCCCCCTTCCGTGATCCTATTGGCTGAGCCGACGCAGACTCCGATAGGCCTACTTACGTGGGATCCGCCTCCAGTGAAGGAAGCCATTGGGCTGAGGGGACGTCTATCACGGGAGCCACGGAGGTCAATTGGGCAGCGGCTTGGCTTGCCCAGGGTTGACGCCTCCCTGATAAAAGAGGACTTTTGTTTCTCTCAGGCTGCGAGTGTCTTGAGACTTTAGAGAGTGCCGATCTTTGCTTTTGAGACCTTCAATTTCAAAACCAAGTTATTTTATTTTCCTTTAAAAATAGAATGGATCATTATGGTAATATGCACAGATTCAGGCGGAGACAGACTTAGGAAGATTTTTGAGGAGAAATGGTAATCCTTGCTGGTCGATGGCGTTATCAATCGCTAGACTCTAATCCTTTCACACTCCTCCTCATTGGATAGCTGCCTTTCAAATGCCAAGAACTGCCCTATTTTCTGACCGGACAAATCTCCAGGAAAGTTTCTGAGGTTGGTTTAAAGAACTGTCAATTTCTGCTCTTCAATAGAAGGCACGCGAAGGGACTGTAGGGGTCCCAGAGTGCGAGCAGCGAAAACTCTGGAGTACATTACACCTCGTTACTCTACTGGCGCTCTACCCTGGAGGAGTGGGATTGGATTTTTTGACCACCGGCTGGGTTGGAGGCGCTTTTCATTGGGTTTAGCCAAGAGTAAGGCAGAGGGCGGAGCACTAGTACGCAAGCTCGTTCCAACTGCCATTCTCGCGCGTCTTCCCTGAAGCGCATGCACCTAACGAGTAGTGCTCATTGGTCCGCAAGAGAGGGGGTGGGAGACTAGGAACGGTGGGAGCTGCTCTGTGTGGAGGAGCTGCTGCCGGTGTCATGGCGGAGCTGAGTGAGGAGGCGCTGCTGTCAGTATTACCGACGATCCGGGTCCCAAAGGCTGGAGACCGGGTCCACAAGGACGAGTGCGCCTTCTCCTTCGACACACCGGTAAGCCCACTCCCCACGCCCGCAGGGAGCACGACTTCCTTCCATAGCCCTGGTCATTCTGCCGGGGCCTGCAAGGCTTGGGCTACCGCCTCCTTGCGATGCACCATGGGACATGTAGTCTTCCGTGCCACTCCCTGCCGTTGCTTTTAACTAGCTGGAACTGTCGTGTGACTACTGCCCCCGGAAGCCACCGGGTGTACCTCGCTTGCTCCCAGTTTCGTGGAGCATTGTGGAGACTGTAGTCGCTCACTCCCCTCTGCCGTTCTAAGCTAGGGGCGCAACCCGATCGTCGGACTACATCCCCCAAGTGGATCCCTGGGAAAGCCAGGGAGTTGGCCTTGCTTGTCGCGCATGGTTCTCCGGGTTTTGTAGTCTCGTGTAGGAGGGATGGGGCTACCCCTCACTGTTCTGGGCCGGCTTTGGGGTTGGAGGGTTGGCTCTGCAGTTCCTAGGCACGTAGTAGTTTGTAAGTAGCCCTGAAGAAGGCCGTTTTTTGAGGAAGGCCGAGTTACAGAGCCTCCATCCACGGTTAATATAGATAGGGGGCGGGGAGGTGGGTCGTGGTGGAAGGGAGGGGAGGGAAAGAGGAAAGCTCTGGTTTCTTCTTTAAGATGAACTAGTTCCGCGGCCCCCTCTTTTTCCCACCCATCACAGAAAGCAGAGGGAACCCTTTTTAAACGTATTCCCAGAGAGATGGTTTCTTTCATGCAGGATACTGAGGCCCCTTTCCCATCCCACTCCCACTCTTGACTAGTTAGACAAAGCCGCCACCCACACCGTGCTTCACGTTATACAGGCTCCACCCGGTACCTCCCTTCCTGCAATTCTGCCTTCCTGTGTCACCCTCAAGAGAGACAAGACTCTGCCCAGGCCAGAGCCTGAACTGAGAGGGCAGCAGCCTGGTTGGGATCCACCCCCCTCACCACCCCTCCCCTCAAGCTGCTGCTGGGCCCTGC